TAAACTTTTTGATCACTTTTTGGCGCGCAAAGCTGGCACCTCAGCTGCTCTTAAGTAAAGTTTCTTAAATAGAGCGTTCAACTCGCGTTATATGAAAGCAAAAACATCAACAACCACAGTCGCAACACCGCGGTCTCAGTCGAAGATGTCCCAGGAACTGATTTTAAGAAACCCAGAATAGCTGCAACATCAAGAACAGAGAACGATACAGTCGATGGTCTCGACTATCAAACACCCATTGCCCAGCTGGAATGACTACGAGTATATCTCGTATACCCTTTCACTCTGTATTTACCAAAAGCAGAATTAAAATCAAGTAATTCGAGAAACAAATGTGTAATATATATATATATATGTGTAATATATATATTTAATAAATACAGAACTACTTCAATATTATTAAATTGTCAATATTTCAGAGGCATCCGCTTTTAAAAAACTTGCCATCTGTACTTATTTAAAATGTAATGACCTATTTTCATATTATTATTTACTCTTAGTACCGTTACTCGTAGAGTAAAAGGGTATACTAGATTCGCTGAAAATTATGTAAAAGGCAGAAGGAAACGTTTTCGACCATATAAAGTATACATATATGTATGTATATTTTTAATCAGGATCAAGTCGAGCCGAGTCGATCTGGCCATGCCCGTCTGTCCGTATGAACGCCTCGATCCCAGAAACTACAAAAGCAAGAATGTTGAGATTAAACACACAGCTTCCGGAGACATAGTAAGTTTGTTTCCAAATCTTGACACGCCCACTCTAACGCCCACAAAACGCCAAACAAATTTTTCACTTTTCTACATATTTTGTAAATTTCTATAAGTTTGCCAAAATCTTTTTGTCACGCCCACTCGCCCACACTCGCCTTTTGAAAAATGTAATATTTTTTCACAATTTTATATATCTTGTAAATTTCTATAGATTTGCCACACACACTCTAACGCCCAAAAATCGCACAAAACTCTCGCGCACACACATTTTAAAATTTTATTATTTTTCCCCAATTTCTACCGATATTCCAGAAAATGTTGAAATTATTCCACTAGCTGAGGAACTGGTATCTGATTGTCGGGGAACTCGACTATAGCATTCTACCTTGTTATGTTTGTGCTAATTATAATTTTAGTATGTTTCAAAATTACAAATCATTTACTGCATTGTTAAATGAAACTGAAATTAGTAAATCAAATTGAGCTAACTTTGTTGGATTTTTATCAGAGTGAGGTATTAAAAGCAGCATGATCAAACATCTGCAATCAGGCTGACATCCAACCCAGCACAGATAAAGGCAAAATAAGCCATTTTAAAGTATCAGACTACAAAAAACGTAAAAACCGAAAGAAGTCGGCTCTACTCCCCCATCGTTTTAAAGCTGGCGCGAAAGTGCAGCTTAAAAAACTTACTTTACGCAAGTGGTAAAATACAAAGACATGAGACAACAGAAACCCAAGCCCGAAAAAAGGAGAAATACTTAGTCAATTGCTCAAAAACTCCTGGCCGGCAACTTCATGACTGGTTTTCCACTTGCTTGCAGCTTTGTTTCCCGCTTTTTCTTTATTTTGGCTTTTGTTACTTCTGGCACTTGCTTTATGTAAGTTGCAACCTGCTGCTGCTTGCTGCAGTAGCCGCTGCCGCTGCCGCTGCCGCTGCTGCGACACGTTTGTGTCTTAAGTCTTTCGTTTTCTTTTCCATTTGGCGGCGTGCTCATAAATCGCTGATCACATTGCGAAAGGCAGCTCCATGATAAGCAGAATAGATATCCATGAATGCATGCGCAAATTGGCGGATTAAGGTGACTACATATATGCATATATTGTCTGTCCAAATATGTCGGTGAACACTTGGATAACTAAACAGCTAGCACTGCGGGGAATGGAATGGTGTAAAAGTGCAAAATAATAATTATTGGGCCTGAAAATAGGGCTACTCAACTAAAATTATATTCGACCTCAATAGAATATGTTTTTCACAGAACCTAACAGAACCTGCAGTTACTAACAAATCGCAGTGGGTTAACTGCACACCATAAGCCCACACGTATCCGATGAATTCCCCTTAGCTATTAACCAGACATTTAATAAGTCTAGGGCGACTAAAAAACGAGTTCACTACATTGATTGCCGATCGGGCCAAGCCCAAAAATGAAAACACGCAGCAAGTGTGGTACACACACTGGCACAGCTCAATCCCACACACAGGTGAAAAAAGTCACACGGATACGAAAACTCAGAGATACGAAAATTACACAGATACAGCGACAGTCAATGATCTTTGGGAGTTGTTCGGATTTTTATTTGGGGGCTTCGGTGAAAGACCAAACGAAACTCGCACATTTTGCCGGCTGCTTTCACTCTCCATTGGATTTTGGAATTCTTTCAAAAAGATTTTTAAGGGGCGAAGGGAGAGAGAGAGCTGAATAATTTCGAAAACGTCGCCAGTTAACGACTTTTTTCCTCTCGCTCGCATCTCAGTATCTTTCACTTGTCAGGCGGGGCGTATGCGCGATTTGCATAGTCCATTCCTCGGCCACTTCCTCCGCTCTGCCCTGTGACCAACCGCTGCTGTGGTGCGTACTTAGCTTCAGGTGGGATCAAACAATGCGCAGCTCCGGCTCATTGGACACATGATTAATGAGTCCCCTTTCGAAAGGCGCATCCAACAAGTGGTCAAGAGGATGGTGGAAGCTCCCTAAACCTACCTATGACAGCAAGCCAATTTTTTCAAAAGGAATTTGAAGTTGATCAAATCGTCTTTCAATCTGCACTCGCACATCAATGTTTTCCATGCAACACCTCCATGGACAGTCGTCATCATCAACTCCGTGCTGCAGCAACTCTGTCCATTTCAAAGCGAGAAAGAAAGACAGGAGAAAAAGCATTTCTGGCTGGGTCCGAGGTGAAGTGAAAAAGAAAGTGAACAACGTGTCGAACACCGGATGACTCTTTCCCCGCCGATCTGAGATCTCGTCGATTCTGCCAGCAGCCAAGAAATGAGCCACCAAACGAGCTTAAACATTTTCTATTATGCAAATAATTGGAGGCTGCCGCCGCTACGCTCGTTTCCATGAATATTCAGTGGTAAACAGAGCCACCAAAAATTCGAACATTAAATTCAAAATAAGCATACACGTACATACAAAATAAGCAACATGGTTGCGGATTGTTAGTGGCTACGGCGATTTTGACATTTGCTCGACAAATGCATTTCTTAGATAACTAACCTACTAGTGCGCCTTTTCCACTCATTCTACATATGTATATTTATGAGGCTTGAAATTATGCTTATTTAACTGGGTTTACCTAGCTCTGCAATACTTTTTTCTTTTTGTTATGTTGCCCAAAATACATGATGTTCAAAGAAGAATCTGCTGGATTACCCAACTTTCTAACTCGTATATTTCATGCGGACGGACGGACGGACAGCTGGGCGGACAGACGTACTTCTTATACTATACATAAAGTCCAGTACCGACACTTGACCCTTTCAAGTGTTTCATAAAATAGTTAAATACATATGTAGCTAAATCAAGAAAACAGACAAACTGTTTATTTGGCGGGGCTTTCTTGGCATTTGCATAAATTGGCGAAGCCAAAAAATAACACGTAGAAAAAGGGTCACTCTCTAGTCTTTTAGAACTTTCGCCGGGGGCGAAACTTTTGCCGCAAGTCGGCCGCACCTGTATGTTACCTGTATTTTACCTGCACCCACATGTGGCCCGCATGCAGCCGAATACCAAGCAGCGCAGCTATGCGTACACCGAGAGAAATAAATCTTGCTAGCAATCAATTATACATTTAAACTGCGCAAGGTAACTAAACTTTCCACTCGCACCAACCAATGGTGAAACTGAAATAGGCATGTTGTGACTAGAACCAGCACGTAAGTTTTTCCAGTGTATCCACACGAGAGAATGGGAAAGTGTGTGTCGGCCACACTTTTGCTCTTAATACAGTTCAATCGCCCCTCGGCACCCGCCACTGCATAATTGCCCAGACAGAGGAGCGCTCGCAAAATTAACCAAAAAACTAAATTGAGCGGAAACGTTTTGCTCTGCCACGATTTTGTTTTCCTATGCTAATTACCATACTAAAGCTAAAGTGGAGTGAAAACTCAAAGCAGCAACAGAAAACAGAGCACTATACTAAATTAGATAAAGTGGAATATAACTTGATAACTACCACTGGCTAGCACGGGTAGGCCTATAAAAAATGCGCCACTTTTTCTAAGCCAGAAGAAATGCCTAAGCCTAAGTAGCGTGCAGTCTTCGAAGGGGAAGAACTCGATCATACCCCCATGTTTCAAATAAAGAACGTTTGGGAATAAAATAGTTGGATATTTAAAAATATGTGTATACGAGTGTAGGTGTGAGAACTTGTGCTTTATATATGGCTATTATTTGCTGTGGTATAAACCTGGTGGTGACTTAATTACTCCAGCGCAGACATTCAAAACCACTTTTTTATCAGCTCCTATTATATCAGCTCCCCAGAAGCCAGCTTTGACCGTTCGACGCAGATGCGGATTACTCAACGAGCGACAACAATCGCCCGCCTATGGGACGGTAACAATGCTGATGGTAATGAAGTCGATGATGCCGGGCTGATGGTGATGGCCTGCAGCTATCACACGTAGATGGATGCGATGATGCCATGCTAATGCTCGGGCCAAGTGAAAGTGCGATTGGCTGTCAATGACCCACCTGTTCTACAGATATGGCGACGCGGCTCGGCCAGCGGTTTCACTCGTCAACCTCGATCCACATTCGATGTGTCGCTGCGAATTCTAAACTGCGTATGGCAAGCACGTTTGCATAAGATATACATATGTACACTGTCTTTTATATGGCACCCACTGATAGTGTGGGCCTTCGGATGGGGGCGTGAGTCTGAGTTCGCTTCGCATGCCGCCAGATGTTGCAGAGTGCAAAGTAACTGGGTAATTGGCACCACCGAGGACTCGGAGTGCCAGCACTTTGCATTGAAACAGTCTTCGCATGGACAAAAATAGCGATAAGCCTTTATTTGTATTTTCTTGGCCCAACAACAACAAACAGTTTGATTAAGAGTAAAGAGTCCGTAAGCGAGTTGATCTATCTACAACTCGAACTTTACATAAGCGCGGCTTAAGGATGCGAGTGCTTTAGGATCTGGAGTTCGATTGAAACTTAGGCGTGCCTTTGCTTCGAGTTGCTCGGAGCGTCGTCATCGCTGGCCTGGTCGATATCGGAGCTATCAAAGGATAGCTTGGCGGGCGCCATGGCCGGCAGCAGCAGAAACTCGTTGAACAGGAAGTCGGCGTCCATGGATTGCGTCTTGCCATGGTATCCGCGCACGACGCCCCGCTTGGGCGGTTCTATGAACCGCTCCTTGACAATCAGCGCACCCGGCGAGGGGGATGGCGAGGGGGACGGCGAGGCCGAGGCGGAGCAGCATGTGTTGATCATCCGTCCGTAATGGATCCGCAGTGGCTCCCGCTCTGCCGGCACTCCACTTGCACCTGCGCCTCCTCCATCGGATCCTGCAGAGAGATCGAACATACGTTTGCATTTACGTTTATGAGATTATTTAGCTTTTAGTAAGAGTAGAGTATTGCTAAATTATATAAGTTGAAATGCGTTTGCCGCCAAGGGATTCAGTCCTTTACGATACACGAATTACTTATCCCATCTTAAGAGCTATCTTCTATACAACCCGCATTTAGGGATATTCTTGAACAGTAGAAATGAAATGTGAGGGCAATAAAGTAACCAAAATTGTAGTCGCCAAGACAATTACTTTCCGCACGTATGTGGTAACATGCAAGATCACTATGTATATAGAAAAGATTTAAATAATTATCAGATATCCTTGAAAGGTTTGGGTCCTTAAACAAAATCGTCACTAGTAACACTACTTATGCAATACAGAACTTTTTATGCTTTCTCACATGACAATACTTTTTTATTACCGCGCAATGGCCGGTTTAAAAATTGGTTCCTATATCGGTTCATAATCTCATGTGGCAGATTCAGCTCAACAGAAATACCTCTTAGCTAGTTGAAATGGTGGTGAATTGTTAACCTTTTGCCATACAAAAGTTTTGCTATAAATGTGTCCAAAGTGTATCAAAATGTCACCACCTTCTCAACTCGAAAAGATGTATTCTGTTTGATTTATATGAGTGAAAAGTTCCTTATTATTGGCACCACCTCTCTGACGCTGCGGCGATCCCCCGAGGACTCCACTGCTACCACTTTTGAGGTTTATGCAACTCTGGGTGTGGCTCACGTTATCGTAGTCATTGGTGGCCTGCATGGGCACCCGCTTTAGGGTGTTGCTTTCGAAGGGAAAGTTCGAGTTGGAAGTGGACTGCGTGAGGTTCTCAAACTTGCGCAGTCGAGCATCCTGCCGCAGATGAAGTGGTCCCGCCGCGGGCAGGTTAATGGAGGCGTGCAGAATTGCTCCGCCGCCCACCGATCCGCTTGACTCATTCTTCTCCTGACCCGCTGCCGGAGCCGCGTTTCCCTCGAACAAGCTAATTTGCTTCTGAATCCTTGGCGAAACGGGATCATGGGCACGGCGCACAGGGCGCGCGTGCTCCGGCGAAGCTTGGGTGACTCGGACGGGCAGCGCAAATCCATATCGTGGATCGTCGCTGGAAACCTCCGGGGGACCCTCTGCATGGCTGGGACAGCAGTAGCAACTTTCTAGTCGCGGCTCACAGTCGGCGGGAAGGGAAGGTGTTGTGGCCGCCGACAAAGTGGCATCTTCATCGTCTTCGAACCCCTAGGAGAAAGCACGAGGGATATTGTTTATAGTATTTGTTTAAATATGCAGTAGTAGGAAGATAGTGACCTTACTACAGGAAGTACATAAGTTAGGAGTAGGAATTTGAACTGATAAGAAGTACGCTATAATGTTTAAGCTCAAAAATGTAAAAGTTTGAAATCAAAAATAATAAATTAAATAAAGTAGCCTATAATATCAACTAAAAATCTGCACTCACTTCCATTGACAGCGTAATGGAGCCCTTGTTGGCCACCATGCTCAGGTCCAGGTCCATGCCAAAACTAACTGGTGTGATGCAGGTGCTCCCGCTGCCCTGTTCCTCGCAAACACTGAGAAAGACTCCACCGCCCAGCGTTGCATCGCCAGGTTCCAAGCTGTCCCGATTCATTGGTTCAAAGGGGACAGGATCCCCAGCCCCCTGCTCCATAATCTCCATGGTAAGGTCCAGGCTGGTAAATTGTAAATTTAATAAATACATTTTGGCAAGCTAAATTGTCACCTTGGCTTTGTTTCCAATTCAGGTAGGGGTACATCCTCCTCCGCGGCTGCCTTCAGACTCTCCTGCTGCCAATCTTTTTGTACACGGATGTGTTGGTGATCAAGGGGGTTGAGATGTTAGTTCAATAATTACATTTTAAGGGGAGTTAGGAATACGAGCGAAAATAACACTATTAATTAAGTATTAAATGAAGTATTTAAATCAAAAAGCAGATACGAAACTTCTAGCGTTATTAATACACAAAAACATATATTTTTGTTCACAATCACCAATATTCAAATAAAAATATTTGAGTTGGATCGTATACATTTTATAAAGTTTTTAACCTTTTCCACAGTTCTGTTTAACACGCATTCTTCTAGAATTTTTGGATCTACAAAATACAGTCTACCTGATACAACGCGAGTAGAAGTAATGGGGCTCACAAACAACGAAACTATATTTATTTACACTGTTATTTGCCCATAAACGTTTAGTTCCGAAAACTTACGAATACTTTTTGCATTTTTTGTCTATTCGTATTTTTTATATTTATTTTAATACATAAATACATACAAATCACGCATATGTGTTAAACAGACAATGGAAAAAATTCAATATTTAGAAATGCAGAAAGAAACAAGAGAAGGAAAAGACCATAAACACTTGAAAAGCGAAGGTTAGTACTTAAAAACTTAGTGTATAAAAGAGAGAAGGAAGTTGTGAAAATATACTTCTATTTGAGTACTTCTAGAAATATTTATTCCAATTCCGAACAAAAGACTTAAAGACTATAGGAATTTAATACACAATTTTCATGCATATCAATACAATATGCATAAATATGAAATTATATTGGTTATAATTATACACAAACTGGTAAAAGAAAGTGATTGCTGCATTTGTTTTAAATGCTGGGCTCTGTTGGATTTTCTGAAAACGAAAGTAAAAGTTAAGTGAATAAATTTTAAGTAAATTAAAATAAATTAATTTGATTCGCACTTTTCCTAACTCTGTTTTAAAACAAAAAATATGTTTATTTATGTCAATTTTAGGCATCTTCTGTAAAAGTACAAATAAAATGATCACACACAAAATAATATTCTTTAAAAAAAATATGAACACATTTGTTCCACACAAATAATCACATTAAAAAAGTGCTTAGAACAGACATTTTATTGAAAACAATACAGCAGAGAGAAAGTGAGCATAGATAATTTTGAATTCGCATAACAACAGTGCAAACATTTTATTTGATCGAGCTTGTAAGCTCTTGATTTTGAATAGAAAACAACATAATAATTTTGAACTTGGTAGTCTTGAAAAGCGCAAGGATAAAAGTGAATAAGAAAAAAAACAGATCTGGGGCCTCTTCAGCACCGCCACTCGATTATAGACTTTTTTCGGCACTTACGCTCCATCTTTCCCACCAGCGAATCCCGCAGTTCGGCGTTGCTATCGTCCAGATTTGGGCACTGGCTCTCCGAAAGCAGTCGCAGATGGGCATCCGCTGTGGATCCGGACTCGCTGCCCCGCCGGTCAAAGGTGGGCGTAACGGTCGTTGATATCGGCGGTGGTCTGCCAATTTGCGCCTCTGCCTGGTTTGGGGCGGCTAGAGTCATCGAGGAGACCGCTGGCAATGTGTTCTTAGAGAAACCCCGCGGCGGCGACCCTGTCGGCGTCTTGAAGATCTGCGCCAGGATCATGTCCTGCAGGAAGCAGTCCAGCTTGCGCAGCGAGAGGGCGTTGTGCAGTGTCTCAAGCGGGCGGATTGGTGGTACATCGCCAAATCCTGCAGAAAAAAGTTGTTATAATAACGCACTACACTTGGTATCTTTATCTACAACACAACTTTGGCTTACGTGTGCCAATATACTGTTAATACACTTCTCTACAATTACGGTGCTGTTTTCGGGGGTGACCCACAAATATTTAGATTTATTTTTTTGGTTCGTATAGTGCCAAAATCGCTATCCGTGCCGCGCACATTTCACAGCGTTGGTGTATAAGACCTCAGTTATTCCTTTACTTATTTACCAACTAATAGTTTATTTGTATCGATCAGTTATCAGTTATAAATAAACAAGACATGACGATGCAGCTCTATTCCCCCAACTTTACACATGCTTAAGCACTCATAACGTGAACTTATCTGCAGTTGAGAAATAACACTTTCTCTACGTAGAAGCCTTTCTCCCTCCAAATCATATCATATCATACCATGCAGGTGGTGTACTCACCGGATGAGGAGACCGGTATCATGTCGCGAAGATTAGGAGCGGACGAGCTGCCGCTGATGACTGCGGTGCTGAAAAGGCTATTTGCGCTGGTGGCCATCTTTTTGCTAAAACCACCGAAACCCAACATTTTCATATAGGACATCTGGCCGGCAATACTGTGTCTTTGGCGACGCGACGACGTGGACGAGTTGGCCGATGACACCGATGCCGAGACCGACACCGAGACTTGGCTATCTGTGGCGATGGTATTGGTACAACAAGACGGGGTCGTGGTAGTGTTGTTTGTAATTGTGGCGGTGGTGTGGTTTTCGTTCAGTGTGTTATTGATGGTGCGTGAATTCGGTTGTTGTTGATCGATGGTCGTTGTTGAGTTTTGGTGATGTTGATGTTGATGTTGATGTAGATGTTGGTGTTGGTGTTGGTATTGGAGGTGGTGTTGGTGTTGGTGTTGATGTACATGATGTTGGTGTGGTGCGTCGTTTGAATTGGGATCGATCGATTGGAATTGGTTAGTAAATGGTCGATTAGAAGACATTGTTGCTGTATTATCAAACAAAGCTGCTGCTGCTCCAGTTGCTGTTGTGGTGGTGGATGGTGTGAATGTTGGTGGGGATGTTTGGGTGGCTGTGGGTGCGAAGTCTCGTATACCTTTTGTAATATCGCTAGTATCGCTAGTAGTAACTGTTGGTGTAAGCCCTGGTGCACATTTTCCAAAACTTATATTTGTTTTTATATCCATTGATGTATCTTCTGCTGTCTCTGTTGCTGTAACCGTTGTTGGATCTGTTGTTATAGCTGTTTTTGTATCAGGTCGGGCAACTGTTGCATTACTGCAGGGTGTATGTGTGGTTGTAATCCCTATTGTCCCTACTCCTATATCGTTCGATACACCTATTTCTTCATTTATTTCGGTACCTATTAGTGTAAGCATTGCAGATTCAGAGTTCGTTGCAGTCGTTATATTGCAATTTATTGTGCTGGTCAATTCTGTACTACTTGCTGTTCGCGTGATGAGCACAGTGGGCAGATTATATACCACATGAGGCTCTGGCTGGAGTGGCTTTGGATCTGCCTCCATTATGGGCGTGACCTGCTCTTCAATGGGCTCGAAGCTGCTCACAAAACATGTGCTATTTGCAACTGCAGAGCCCACTGTTGAAACGGTGAAGCGAAATGGGTTTTCCGTCACAACAGGAGCAGAAGCTGCCATGGACAGCTGACCACAGGAGCTACTAGTGGCCTTGCGTTGAGCAGAGGACGGGACAGAAGACGAAGCCGAAGCTGAAGCCTTGTCCATGTCCTGACAGAGCCGTAAAGTAGAAGCAGTGGGCGAGGTGGTGGCATGGACCATTGGCGACAGAGACGCCACCACGGGCCTTTGACCGAAGTGTGCGCTCATCAGGATGGCCGGTGCTGAGCTGGACAACTGAAAGTCATCATCGAAACTACTGACACTCACATCCGCCGTTGCTGTTGGGTCACCAGCTTGCTCCGAGTTCTGTGCGGTTTCTTGTGGGGGAGTCAGAGCCAACGTTTGCGCCAAGTCCATTAGACTTTTTGAGTGTGAGTGCGCCTGTGCCGCTGAGCTACTGCAGTTGCACGAACTCAAGGGTCGCTCATTGGTGGCCATCGGCGAGATCTGTGGCAGATGACGCAGCTGCTCGAGATCTTCGCCATCGTCGCAACTCTCCATCCGCCGCATGGTCAACACGTGGAGGCGCTTGTGCGACGAGGGACCACAATGGGGAGTGGCCGGATGCAGCGAAAAATCGATGTCCGACAAAGGTAGCTCGTTTGTCGAAGAGTCAATTTTAAAGAAGGACAAACTATTCGTAACACGGATCTGGAAGGCCGTGCGATGATCCGCTTTCGGGTGAGTCCCTTCACCGGGACTACTTGCAGCGCCCACCCGAGCATGAGAAATCTCCCCGAAATCGGAAGTACGAGTCCTAAGACTATCCTCAGAAGTAAGATTGGGAACCTGGGAAATTTCACCGGAATCAGGGACAGCAACTACTTAATATAAAATTAAAATTCAGTCCAAGAGCAAAATCAATGAAGGGTAATTAGTTTGGCATGATAATGGGTTGGGGTTTCCGGTCCAAAGTCAGCCAAGTTTACAGTGATATATTCGAGATTTGGAGTGTCAGTGCGTTGTGTATGTAATGTTGTGTACAAATAGAAAACTCATTAGCCGAGATAATCAAAACGTCGAAGATCGCGCACGGTTTGTAAAAAAAACAAAGGTTTGTAAAACACGGGGATAGAAAAACCAAGGAAAAACAATTTGTAAACCAAAAGGAAAAGAAATGAAAAGGCAATAAAATCGGCAAGCCGAATGGAAAATACTCTTGCAAGAATCTTAAGATTTATGAGCTTGCAACTTAAAAAAATTCAAAAGAATTAAAATTTGCAACTTAAAAGAATTCAAAAGAATTAAAATTTAAAATAATTAAAACGCGAAAGTTTCTGAAATCACTTGTGACATTTTTACAATAAAACTCTGCTATCCTAGCAATGCATTTTTCTTTACTACGGCTTAAGTTAACCCAACAGAGCCTCAAAGTAAAGTTTCGCGCCTTTGAAATACATTTAAACAACAGTTCTTCTAACCACGCGTTCTGTGAATCATTTGAAAATCTTGTAGACCCCACAAGAGCATTTGAGGAAATTGGAAGCTGGCAAATTGGAAGCTGCAGAGGCAAAGGCCTTAGTAAAAGCTATTAGTAGTGTATACAAATCGGAAACTCAAGCTTCAGAAGAGTAAGTGCGTTTTGAGCCCATTGAGGTCCTGTGTTGGAGTCCGTGGCGTTCTGTTATTTGTGTGTTTCCATGTGGTTGTGGGGGTGGTCGTGGATGGGTAGGAGGGGTCTGGGTCTGCAAACAACGACAACGAGCAACGTACAGACACAGACAAGAAACTCCGCAAAACCAAGCACAATTTGCAGTGTTTTCCGAATTCTCAAATTCTTGCTTTTCATGCACGGAGAGAGAAACAGAGACAGGTAGACAGGACAGATGGAGACAGACAAAACAGGCAGATATATAGAGATATATAGTATAGAAGAAACTAAGGAGCCAAAAATGGGATAGAATATTGTGTGGGGGCAGGCAGCTGGACACCGGCAAAGATTCGTAAATCTTCCTCAAAAACCTCTTTGGAGGCGTAAATCTTTCCTGGTGCTCAGCTGCCCCTCTGTAGGGGCGTGACAGGTGTGCAGGGGCGTGGCTAGAGTGGCTGTGGGTGCGACTGAGTGTTGTTGTGACTGAGACAGAGTGACCAGCATTGCCAAGTACACGGGATTCCGCGGCCAGATGCTTATAGATTTTCAGTTTTTCTCGAAAAACACGTTTGCTTGTTTCTTTTTCATTTGAAAAATACAGATCGAAATATATATGTATATATAACGAAAAAGGTGTGTTTGATGTGTCCTATGTATGTGTGTTATTTCGATTCTTATACAACAGAAAAAATGAAAACCGAAAAATGTTGGGCACAGCTTAAGAGAGGTAGAGATGAAAATTCTTTAAAAGTTGTTCTTCAACAATAGTGAATGTGATGTAAAATCAGAACTGAATATTATTCGTTTACCATTCGAAATAGAGACATCTACTAAAGGATATATATTAACTATTCATATTTATATATATATGTATATATAAAAATTGAAAGGACTAAGACTCGCTTAAATATTTGGGGTGGGGGATATGAACAAAATTTAAGCGATTTCTGGATATTTGGGAGAGCGGGGGTATTTCCTTTCTTTAATGTTTTCTTGGGGATTCCCCAGTAGTGTTAGCTGGTTGTGCGGACGGGGACGTAAACACAGAAAACAAAGGAACGGCATGCAAAAACCCCACAAAAATATGTCTTAGAAACCATAAAAGAAGACACGAAGTTATGCACTTTTTACAAAAGAGGTGATACTTCGGAGCAGCCGAAGGCTGAAAAACCTGGCAGAGGGATTCGTCTAATATTTTTAAAGCTATTACTTCAGTACTTAACAAAGTAAGGCCAGTCTTTTAACCATAATATAGAGAAAGGTGGTTCGCAATGAGCACACTCTACCCATTTTGTGGATAGAACTCTGATATGCGATGCGCAACATGTCCAATGTTGCAACCATCATATTCGAATACATAGACCTCCTCTGCCAAATTGTATTAGAAAACAATGTTTGAGTAGGAAAACCAAACCGAATTAGAACGGATTAGTTTAAAACTGGGAATAGCCAATCGGGTGGTTGTGAGATGTGTTAGACAATTTTTTTGGGAAGCTGGAAGAAGGTGGGTTGTGAACTCCCCACCCTGAAGAAAAGGCGGCTGCGAAGGCGGCGGCGGCAAGCTTTGCTCGATCGACCGTCAGGCCCTGCCCAAACGTACATACCCGGTTCTTTGGCACAGACGCCGGACGTGGGACGTTGCTCAAAACTCCGGGAGCGTGGTTCGCAGTCAGGACTCACTGCCCTGATATCCGGACTGATGGGTCGAAGCTGCTGGTTTTGCTGCTGCTGCTGTGAGGCCAGCTCCTCGTTCAACCGCTTGGCTAGATCCATGGCTTCGTGGCCACTAACCGTGTGATGGGCTCCGATGGGGATCGGTTTCGATTTGAACTGCTTGGATCTAAGTTCCAACCTGTTGAATCCGAAGGCAGGGGAGGTGCGTTCCGCACTGCGATCCGAACTCCTTTGGCTGGAGGTCTGAAGAGAATGGCACAGAAACATAAGATGGAATGCTTGTGCAAATTTAAACACTCACCCCTCGCTTTTTGCCCTCCCGTTCCTCTCCTGAATTCGAGTCGTTCTCCTCCTCGATCCTGGCGGGATTTGACTCGTCCGAGGATTGCAAACTGACATTGCAAGCATTGTCGCCGTGCGAATGCGGCCGAAAGCCCGGACCTGGTGGTAGATTCTTTTGCACACAGCAATTTACACCCGGACTGAAGTGCAGTTCGACGTGGAAGCGTTCCTCAGAAGTGGGATCTTTGGTAGGGTCCTCGTAGAGCATAATGACGATCTGAGACATATAGTTGAGCTCCGATACCATCGAAATATAGTCCATCGCCCGACGCCATTGCTCATCTGTGACCACATTAAGCAATCCCCCATAACGCAAAACTGTGAGCAGGGAGTGGACATGCGATTCGCTAGTAAAATAGAGCCTTGTGCGCACATGCCTCTGAGGACTGGCAACACCATGGCTGTAATGTGGATTCAAACGGTTCATGAACTCGTCTTCCACTTCGTCGATGTTTCGCTGCAGATCACCCTTGATCTTTCTTAGTAATGGTGAACAGATACCTTGCCCTATTGCCAGTTTCTCCTGCGGCGTCAGCCCATACTCCTGGGGTATGACTATATCAGCCAGGTTCTTCGCGTAGATGTACAACTCCTCCGCCTGATCATATTGCAACGTGTGCTGATTATGCTGCAGATCGTACTTGATGCAATCATATATATCTGGTATCTTTGAGATGTCGAACAACTTCGATTTCGTGCTAAAGTCCTTCTCAATTTTTTCCCAGCGACAGCGCATCAGGTCCCACGTCTCGCCGTGGTATAGGATGGCGTCCTTGGTCTTTGGATCATCCTTTTTGATGCTGATAATGTGAAGAAGCTCGCGGATGAGCAGGTGCACGTGGTGACAGCAGTCTACGGGATTTTTCACAAAATCCAGCGCCTGGGTAATAGATTTGCTATTGCAAGGATTAATCAGCTCGCGATCCTCCTTCGTAAACTCTCGATCGTTTTGCATAAGCTCGTGGAGGCGACCTTTAGCCCTATCGAGGTGAAACGAAATTGGCAAAATAAGTACAAGAACCAAAAAATAGTTTTAAACTAAGAAGCTTAAAGGAGGATAACACTCAAGTCATATATCTTTAAGAAAAGCGTTTGCTTTCAAATACATTACAAAAGGGGCTTTGTTTACGGACGGACAGACGGACGGACATGACCAGAATATAAGCAAAATTATCCTTCAAGGCGCATACAAAAGCATTCCACACACAAAACCCCCAAAAACCCACCACAATATCCCTTGGTGGAATAAAAAGCTTGAGAACCTTAGGAAAGATAAAAAGAAGGCCTGGCGGACCTTCAATGGAACATGTCTACGAGCAACTTAATAAAATATTAAAAATTGAACGCCCAATATAGCAGAGAAATAAGATCCTGGCAGTCCGAGAGTCTCTTCAAATTTACTACCACAATCTCACCACAATCAAAACCAGAAGTTATTTGAAGTTATATAAGAAAGCTCTGTGGACTTCACAATTCCACACAAATACATGGAATCCCAGAAATTAGCAACGACAACCTCCTTACTTGCCCGGAAGTAGAGGATACTAGAGGATACCTCCCTACTCTCAGAGGATACTCAATTCTCCCCGGCATTTATGAAAGAGAAAAAAAAACTAAGCACAATGCACTCTTTCCCCCCACACACAACAGCCACATCGGTAAAAAACAGAATTCTACAATTTTTTAATAACATCCTTAAATCACATATCCCTCAATTTTATAAAACCAGCACAGTAATCCCCATCCAAAAGCAAGGAACAGACAAAACAGCAATTGAATCCTACCGACTAATATCCCTTAACCCATGTCTATCAAAAACCTTAGACAAAATAATCTCCAAGCGACTATGGATGGTGGTTTGTCACAGATAAGAAACTAAACAACAAACGAAAATCTCCAACACTTACTTAAATTTCTGAAAAAAGCAAACATAATACATCTACTGTAGACTTTCTTTCGTAGTACAAATAGGAAACCATCGTAATCCCCCAATTGTTAATCACTGTATATACATGTATGGTAAATAATTGTAAATATTGTTGTAACTAAATACTTCAGTAAATACTGTTGATGTAAGATGATAACACGATTCCGTGCCAATCAGTATAATTTGTAATAGTACTATAACCTATTGTAATTAACATTTTGTAAGCCAAGTATAGGAACAACAAACAATTGAGACCTTTTATCAATTCCCATGGTAATAACTACGAGAAAAGCAGGGAAATATTGTTTTTCGATTGCAAAGCAATTAGTCTTAGAAAAGGCAGGTAAACAATTCAATATAATAATCTAGATCACTTAAATTTGTCATCTTCGGATACAATTAGTTGAATAAAGCAATTGTTTAAATATGACAAAACCCTAAACAATTACGAAATAAACCCAAAACTGACAAACCCCTTGTGTGGGTTCAAACAGGCTTTCAAAAAGAACTTACAAGTTTTGATACTTGCTGGAGTCGCAATCATTGTCCAGCAGTCCATTTGTATTGGCGCTCTTTACCATCTGCACAAGAATGGGTGTAAGTTCTCCTTCTAGGGCCAGCAAACCCTTGGCAAAAGCGGCAGCCGTCATCTGGACACGACCCTCGTCGGAGGCGTAGATCTTCAGGTCATGGCGGAATGTCGAGTGCAATCTGAAAGGTTTTATATCACAATATACATTCAACTTGATAAATGTCAATAAGTGTACTAAAATAAATTGGAAATCATATTGTGTCTCCCAATATAGATCATGTAATAACCATTAGAAACTAAAGATGACCTCACCTCAGCAAGCCAAGACCTTGCGTGCCAGAGTAATCCGATCTTCCCTGGCCACCTGGATACATGCACCGAAAAATACGGCCCAACTCCTCCGCCTGGATGCGGCCTGCTGGCGTCAGTTCGCCACCCCACTTGAGGATGAGAACCAGGGAAGGCTCCACCGGCTGATCCGCTGCTGGATTGGCTTCAGTTTGGTTAATCGGGGCACTTGGATTCGGGGGAACTCGACTGGACTTACTATCATCGGAGCTGGAGCCACGTGGGCGACCCTTTGGTTGGTATTTCATCTGAACCTTCCGGTTTATGCCTGAAAAGTGACCGTACATCTCCAGAACGTTCTTCAGCTGTTCCAGCTTGCTCTCCTTCTCCTCGATCTCGGCGTGGGCTTTGGTGTGGATCTCGCTGAGCAGAAAGCGGGCGATGTCCAGGATCTCTTGAAGCTGCTTAGGGCGCTTTAGCTTAACATGGCCAAGCTTGTAGCCGTCGTACTTCTCGAAGATCTCGAAAAATCTGGTTAAAAGAGATTTGGTTTCGTATAGGATGTAACCAAGGATGTACCAAGGATGTACTCACTTGGGATGCCGCACCTCAACCTTCATTTTTTGTTTCGGCGTGCGATCGCCATGTCTAATTACGGCCACCACGCAGCGCAGCTCCATCATTTTGCCGAAAGTTGTGGGCACAATGGGAGGATCGTCCAATTGAAAGGGCACTGACCACGGGATGTGCAGAGTAGGTGTTAGCTCCCTGAGAATCATGTTGCCCAGTATCTTGGCGCAGTCATCATAGTACTTGTTCGAGTTCTTAACGAAGCTAAATCCATTAACATCGCAAACGTAGCTCTTTCCGTTGGCTCGCAACAAATCGAATCCACAGACGGTTTGCTTAAAGGCCAGGCACACCTTCCGTGAGATGAGCTTCTCGGAATGATTGAGGATCACTGGATAGCGGATCTCTTTGCCCTCGCTGTCGCGCTCTACTTTGCCATCCAGAGCGGGACTTTTACGCGCTTCGGCATGGGCGTAGTCCGGGCCAACGGTGTACACCTTGACATCCGTGCCTGAAAAGTACACTAAGTTGTAAAGGTGATGCTGGATTCAGTGCGTTCGACTGGCGGCCACTGGTGTGATTCGGTGTTTTTCTTCTTGCTTTCTCTATTTACTAGATTGCTGTGAGCTTAGCGATGAGTCGCGCGTGCGGAGCGAAACGCAGGACAATGCACAATGAGCGATGCTTCGTTGGAGGATTAAATTAAGTGGGTCTACAAGAATGCAGCTAGCCAAAGCCATAACAAGAACAGACAGCCAGAGCGCAAAGTGGATTAGGGTAGCGATGGAAAAGGTATACAATATTGGGTATATACTTGTTTTTTAATTGCAAAATGGTTGTTCTGTACAAATCCGTAAATGGCAACGATTACTGAACATTTTGGGTCACTTTAATGTCATTTGTTGAGTTTACCCAATGAATTTCATTAAATAGTGGGAAGTTAGTCATCAAAATTAACAAATTATTTAAAATTGAAGCTCAATATTGAAATTTAAAAAATAAGGTCATAAACATAATATATGATTTTACGATTACATATGTATGTTGTATAAGTACAACCATACCCTATGAACCATTTCATAAATTAAAAAACATGTATATACGTGGCTAAGTATCTAGATATGTTTGGCTGCCTAGATACTACCCATTTCTCGTGCAGAATGGGCGGGAAGTGGAGCTGCATTAAAATGGGAACATAGTGAGCAAATTGCATACCATCGGTGGGCATGAAGTCCTCGTAGATAAAAGATCCCGTCTTCCGCACCCTTGACTCCGGAGAATATACGCTGCTCCGGCTGCCGATCTTTCGGAAAAGTCGCTGGCTTCCGCCGCCCGCCGACGTCGGGTAGTATATGTATATGTTGTGGTCCTCCGCCGACACAGGCTTCTCAACGAACGGCTTGTTAAAGGTAATACCATTCACCTCCACGTGGTCCTCGGACTCAATCAGCTCATGGTCTGTGGAGTGGAAGTTAAAGTTAAGCAAAAATGAACTCTTTGCAATCATGTATGTATAGAACTCACGTTTGGGATCCGGCGAATCGCGATCGAGGACAGCATAGCGCGGAATCTCAATACCCTCCTTCTCCAGAATGGCGTACACTCTCCTCCTGTCCTGAATATCGTACTGCATGTGCAGGTTATTCAGCACAAAGGGGTTCCTCAGCTGGGCATACTCGATGGCTTTCTCTAGGGGAAAACCCTTTGAGTGAAATGACACCAGGCAGTCGCAGGTGGGCCAATTCTGGACCGGTTCTCGAAGGATCACGTTCTCCTCAAACGTCACCAGTTTGATGAACTCAAACTCTCCAAGACGTGTCAGGATCTCCTTCATTGGCTTTGACTGTGTCTTCTTGGCCATCGCGCAGATGCCGACGACCACCTGCTTGCTGTTGCTGGATGAGGTGCTCGTGTCGGAGTCCATCCCGTCATTGCTGTCTCCAAAGTCCGTGTCGCCCTTTGAAAACAGAGAGAAGCGGTCATGAATGAGTTGTTTAAGTGTTTGTGTAGGCAGGCAGCAGGCAACGGGAATATCTGGGTCTCGCTTCTCAGATCTTTCGAGTATTATTTTTATAAATATATTAACGTGTCACTTTTTTCCAATCCCACTACGCAGCTCTATCTAAGTTCATTAAAAGAAAACAGCTCATTGAAATGTCGAATTTTGTTATATTCACAGAAAAAGCCAAACACAAGTTAAGCGTACTCGTACATATGTAAATCATAAAGCAATCGTTTCAGAAAGGACTTATGACACTTAGTCATAACCTTTTTCAGTTCAGTTACTCGCTGACAAGAGAACTTACTAACAGACAAGAGAACGCGATTCTAGCTCTATAAAGTATAATGATTCTAAAATCACTTCACAAAAAGTTAGCACGCCCACTGAAACGCCCATGAGCCCCCAAAACTACTGCAAAACGAACACTTTGGGAAAACTTGATTGTTTTTTTCCCACTTTCTACCGATATGCCAAAAACATTCAAGCCCATACATTTAAAATCCCTGTAGAGACATGCGAGAAACTTTGGCCAGCTGTAAATACTTATTCAGTCAACTTATTCAGTCATCTAGCGAAGACCGATATTCAGAAATTATAAAGTAATATATAAAGATATATAATATATATCTTTGAATGCATTAGGTTTACATGCGTATAGTAGATTTGTGAATCAAGTAAAGATTTTCAGGAAGTAGAGTCGTAACCAATAACTGTAACTCCCGATAGGTGACGCTTTTACGATATGGGAATTGGTTTATACAACGACAATACTACTTAAAAACTACCTATGATTCAGCTCATATTGGTTGCCACGAAGTTTGAGCATGGAAATATGGCCAACCACGTACTAGAGAATCCCTAAAATCCAAATGTACCCTTCAAGACACTGAATAAGACAACTGAAGCCTAATGTGGTTCAGGTGCCACCCGATCCACATATCAATTAGCGCTCAATTCCCCCCGACTTCGGAATTTGGAACGACTCAGGGTCCGATCAATCAATAGCTTCGATCTAACCAATGAGACCTACATTCATACAGACATCACAGTAGCAGAAATCATCACTCTCCCCGTCGCTGCCATGACTCGGCCCGTAATCCTCGTAATCGCTGACGTTAAAGGGTCCGTACTCCCCATCGTCGTCGTCCTGGCTCCTAAACCGTGCATTTCCCGCACCATATCGACTGCGGACTCCGGCACTTTGACTCCGTCGCTGTCGCTGCAGCAAGCGATTCCGGCGTAGGCGATCACGACCACCACGGCGTCTTCTGGCTATGGTTCCATCGGATGGCACTGCGTCCAGGCTGTGGCGACGACTGGTCTGCGGATCCTTGGAAGCACCACTTTCCACGCACTCAGAGCCGGGCAAAACCGCTGCTGCGGTCACGGCAGCTCCAGCGGCCGCCGCGGCTGCTTCGAGTTTTTTCTTATGGCGCTGGTGACGAGATCGGAGCTTCTTGAGGCGCCACCAATCCTTGAACCAAGTCCACTCCATTGTGTTGCCAACTCAGCTGCTTTCTGGCCGAAGCAGGCTGCTTTCTGAGTTGAAGCTCTACACCAATGGTATACTGGGCAATTTATACCACCCTGCCTGATAGCTTTGAAACAGTTCTCAAAAAACACTCTTTTAAATGTGTTAGATTCCGTTAAAACAAAACTTTAACATTCGGGGTTCTCATTTGAGCGAAAACAGTTGAGAGTACTTTATTTATAAACATTCAAATTGTTTATTCACGCCTGTCATATATTTTATATGTGTGGTCTGTAATATTAGCGGCATTTAGTCCGTCGTTGACAACACTGATGGATGGTGCGGTAAGCAAACCCTACGTGCATATCGGGCGGATTCCCCAAGCCCAGATGACCTAACCCGAACGAATACTGAAAACGCCAACCGACGAGGTCAGCGTACAACCGATCCGTGCAACGCGGCCAACTGACTAGCGGAGCTGAAAAACGGCTTGCTTGGGATCGCTGGGGATCGAAGCGGATCGTATCGGATTGTTTCAGGGCGTACGCCAATTCGTCTGTGCGCCCACTCACTCAGGGGAGAATCTGATCAGCCGGAGACGAGAGTTCAGACAAAAACAGAAAGAGAGGTGATCGCACAAAGAGCAATATAGCGAAATACACTGGGAAGAAATGCATGCCTCGAACTGCATTTAATCAAATTTTCAATTTTTCAATCATCAAACACCCTGCATACAGTAAAGATGTTTTTCCCTCGAAAGGTTTTGTGCGAATCAAATTCGACTTTTCCTTATTATGCTAATAAAAATATATAAACTCGACTTTGAAAAGCACGGGTCAATTTATTCGAAAGGCATATTCCAAATTACGTTACACCGAGCTAAGCAAATGCCCGCCAGATGTAAACTGCCTGAGTTTTTTAAAGTCGCTATAGAAATCTGGCCAAAAGGCGAATACTACAGATCCAGTTAATCAGAATTTTACAAAGTCCCAAATGGTGATTATTAAATTATCGAACAGGTGGGAATCACTTTAAAGTGCAGTAAGCGTACTTATTCACGAACATTTGCTCGCAGTGTATTTTGTGTGAATTCTTTTGGCCACCTGTGCATGCGCTTCTGTGATTTAACCAAATTCCATTTCACGACGAATAAAATAAACGTAGGGCGATAATTTTCAGTGCACGAAGAGACCTGGAGCGGGGGAACGACGGAGAGGCGTTCTCTTTGTATAATTGCTCCGACATTTTTTTTGCTGAAGGCGTCTTGTTATCACCGTCGCTTCCATTTGTTGACGACACGACTTAACTACAACTTTTATAGCGTACACGTCCGGCCGATCGGTCTGTGTTAATGAAAGCGACTACAAAGACAACAAGAGCGACACAAAGGCAACAAGAGCGACAAAAATCGGTAACTGCGCTCGGTGAAGCAGATTAGACGTCCAGTGATAAGGGCTCTGTGGCTCTTGAGGCTCAAATCTGCCTCAGGAATCCACCCAAGCGCCAATTGGCCAAGTAAATAATTTGTTTATATATAGAACCTGTCGACGGGGACCGCTAACAGGCGCCATTCGAAACGATGTCCCATCAATTATCGCCTTCATGTATCATTCCGCTGAGATCTCTGTTTTCCCGCACTTAAAGATGAAAATCAGACATCTGAATCACAATTCGTGGTACAGAGATACAGGGTATCTTTAATTTAATCTGCTTAATCTTCTTAACTGGCAGGGGTTTGGCTTTTTGAAGTGGTGGTGCTATAATGATTGTCGTCAATTTTTGGTGTTTCATATAAATTAACAACGGAGTAGGAGTTCCTCGACTATCAAATACCCGTTACTCAGCTAGTGAAAGTGCATGGTTGAAATTTGAAAATTCCTTGTGTGGTTCAATTACGCACCCTGTCATGGACTAATACTGATTTTTTTATCAGTATATCAAATAATAAAAGCGATCCTGAGATTTACATGAAAATAACATGTAAGCTGTTCGGGGTTGAGCATCAGTATTAATCCGTAACAGGGTGCGTAATTAAACCACAAAAAATTGAAGCCAAAAAAAAAAAGATTCGACAAACTAAAAATAAGTAGCTAAATCTTTAGTTAGTTGTAGCTAGCAATTTAGTCCAGGCCTCTTTGTTAGCTATCGACAAACCTAATGACTAAAAATCGATTATTCAAAGCAGAACCTTTGTTTTCCAATTAAGTAGGAATAATACTCATTAATGAAGTAAAAATTATTGCAAAATCAGTTGTACGGCCTTTTAAAAAAGATTCAAGCATGCCGCTTTAAATGCTCAAAGCCTTTGGAACTACTACTAAATAAAACATCCTTTTCATCCAAACGGCGATTTTCGGCAGATTTGTTTTATGCAAAACAAGCTAAAGTGGTGATTTATTCTCGGCTGGCTATTTATCATTAAATTGCATTATTTTTTGTCGAATATCCGTTCGACTAAAATATATAAATAACCAATATAAAAACCCTTTGTTAAAAGATGCAAATAAAATCATCTTCCCGCCTGTAAATCGTTCTTAAAATAATTCCGAAATACGAATCAAATATTCAACCGGATACAAATAAGCTAAATACATTACATAACGAGGTGAGATAAAAGTTACGATGGACTCCTCAACTAAAAAAATTCACTTGTTGATAAGTCACTATTCCGTATACATACATATAGAAGCCCATTAAGTTTAGTTCCTATATTTCCCATATAGACACCCAAAAGTATGAAATGAAAAAATAAAGTTTCGCCCAAGTGCAACCCACCCCAAAGACTCTCTATAAATCTCGCATTTTGGGAAAACTTCACTTTGGTTCTTGGTCTCTTCTGGGCTTCCATAGAAGTTCACTATTACTATACTCCATAAGCAAGCAAGCACTTTGATACAGTTTACCTGAACACAATGGTCTAATACGAAACCAACGAATGAAATGCCGTTCTAAAACCGTTCCGCTCGAAAGTCGTACCTGGACTGCGAATGTGAGATGCAAGTGGGCCCACATGGGAGCTACCCGAGATTCCAGACGGAGTCCGAAGCCGAAAGCAAACAAACTGAGCAAACAAATGGCATAACCGGTAATTAATAATTGCAGCCAAGAAGCCAAAAATGTAATTAGAACTTCGCGCGCCCGCCCATTGGGCAAACAATCGAAACGTAAATAAGCTTCTTAAAAAAGCACTTAAATAGCGAGCAAAATAGTGCAACATAACGGGAACGAGAACGAGTGCGGAGACCAAGAATCACCGGGTGGGAAAACGATGAGGAGCGCGGCTCCAGAGGCTCCAACTCGCTGACATCTGTCTCTGGATTTTCGAGGGGCGGTGGGTGCAGCAGTGGATAGGCAGGAGAAAGGGGATAACAGAAAGTGAGTGTGGGAGCCGCGCACAGAAATGGGCAGTGCACTGAGAGAAAATCACACTGCATTCTAAAGAATGTGCTCATAATGCTGCTTACTTATTACTTATTTATATATTTAGCTTTAGCTTACTTCGAATGGAATTAACTACGGAATCTTCATAGTTATAAATACAAAACATTGGATTGAGCAAGTGAAGCTATGATTATTAAGCCCTTTAATCAAATTCAGAATACTATAACACACTGACGAAAAATTCGGCAAAAAATGTTGTAAGCAGTTCATATCTAAATTGGTTTAATCGAACATAAAATTAATTTTTCACTTATTTGTTAAAATAATTTCAGTTTTCATGAGTTATTGATTTTAATTTTCTCTTAAACCCTTTAATTTTTCGACTTATTTTTAAACAGTTTGGGCACTTTTGCGCAATTATTTGTGATTTTCCTAGTGAAAAACGTAACGCACCGCCCAGATTTGGAGTGGACTTTACGTGAGTCAGCCAGCGGCGTCCACCCGATGTGCCACGCCCACCGCCTCCGAGTTTATCGATGCTGTTGCCCATTTCCTTATGAACTGATTTTTGATTATCTCTTCGCTAGCAGGGCAGACACAGATGTAAATTGTAAAAGTCCGCACACACACATTAGAAAAAGAGCAGGAGTGAGAGATTCTAAAGGAGAGCAAAAGCTTTTGGCATTGACATTGAACAGTCAGCTGATAGGCTGAAGCACAGGAATGGGAAGAATGTAGGAGCAGGAGGAGGAGGAAAAGAAAAAGCTACCACTGCAAGAAACCCGCAAAAATCAGGGTCAGCTCCCGCATGCAAAAATGCAAAAATCTACAGTCGAGGTCAGCTTGATAATACCACCAGAATTGAATACTTTTTCAAAACGTTCTCCTATTTTTACGACCATAATTAAATTGTATTTGACTCTAAAAAGAGGTTTTGCTTTTGATCATTAGGTTAACATAATAGATGCAATAAGATTAAATTAAGGTATTTTCCATTTGTTGTTTTTAACAAAGGCAATGGTGTGGCATTAATCAATAGTCGTATCAAATCTAAAACTGAATATATATTATACACTCGGATTGCTTTTTTTAAGGAATGGAAAGATTTCATGACCATCTGCCCTCGATGCTATTATTGCGACCTCCAGTATAGACAAATGCATGTATGCTGCGTGTGTACATACATGCACGTATATTAAGTATGTACGTAAATAAGAATAGTGCGTTTTAGTTGGTTAGGATAGATTTTGGTGGAAAAACGGTGTAGCGCATACGTTTCCGTCCTGTAATCCCAAGTAGAAACCGACCCGCTGCTGCGGCTGACTTTGGTGCGGATTCTGCTGCTGATGCTGCTGGGATATATCCTGGTACCCCGATTCCAATTCGGTGTAGGACATGGTTATCCCTTGCCTTGATGTTAGTGCGGGTTATCCAAAGAAAACAAGAAGCAACAACAACACTGCGAAACCTTTTTCGTCTTTCGTTTTCGGTTTTTACATTTTTCACTCGCACACACACACGCACGCAACTTTGCCGTGTGTTAAAAATAAGAGGGTGCGCTTATATTTTCTTCTCCCACTGTTCTTCGATTTACGAGTTACGAAATCTGTTTTTGGTCTGGTTTTATTATTTGTATTATTATTATCTTAATTTGGTGAGTCGTGCTGAATTCGCCGCCGGCGGAAAAGTGGAACTGGGCAGGGGAGGCACGCGAGCAGCTGGGGGAGTGGCAGGGTGGGAGGGGAGCTGGTCAGTTGCTGTGGGTTAGGTGCTCAATAGTAATTAATGGTTATTAAATTAGTTTTCTCTCGCTTTTGATTCTTTTTCTGCAGTTGTTGTTTTCTTTCACAGCCTACACACGAACACACGTCCACTCGCTTCAAAAGTTCCGTTTGTTTTGGCAATCCGCCGCAGCTTTCAAGGCGAATCCATCTACAATGCTGAGCAGTCTTCGAAAGCTTGGCGGCAAAAAACTGCGCGTGCTTTTGCCAATCAGCTGTTCTGCAAGTTAGGAAAAAATGTAAGTTTTAAAAATATGTTAAAGGTAATCGAAATAATACATATCATTTGGCTGTTCAGCTAAGAACGGATCTAACTCAAATAGCTATTAAATGTTTACTAAACTTCTGACTACCATTATTGTTGTTACAATTGCTTCTATCAATCGTCAACTTAGTTTGGGATATAAGCGAATCTACCCGTTGAATTGAAACAAAAAAGAATCAAAAGTATATTTCCTTTCATTTCGACTTTCATTTCAGCTCAGATATAAATTAAATAAAAAAGGTAAAAATGTATGTGGTTGGTGAGAACGTGGAACGCTGGCAGGAATGGTTCGGTTCGTTTATCGTTTCCTTTATTCGAGCAACCTAACCATCTAACCTACGAAATCCGAATCGGATCAGCGATGTTTGAGGAGCAGCTTGGCCTTGATCCGCTTGCGATCCCGAGCGATGATATCCATGCGGTCCTTTATGTTGGTCTGGAAGAAGATCAGGTGCAGGGTGCGACTGGCGGAGCAGAGCTGTCGGAAGTTCAAAGGAAGTAGAGGGAAAAGTAGTCAGTTTGTGTTGAGTTAGCTGGGAGTTCAAATAATCAAATCAAATATGCATAAGCCAGTAGTTTTGTTTTGCCCACTCAAAGTTAAGCCAAAATGTCAAGGTAAGCACGAGAGGTAACGCTGCAGTCGGTTTTATTGGGCTATCGCATACCCTTTTACAAGGGGACGAGCAACCCACCTGTTGGAGCAGTCGCGCCTTGAGGCGCAAGTTTGCAGGCTCCTCTGCAGCCAGGCCATGTCCACAAGTTTCCAGGTGCAGGTTCAACACGAAGATCAGAGTGTCCCTAATGGTTTGGACAATTCGCTGCACTTGCTCGGTTGCAAAAAGCCGGCGGACCAAGAATCCTCGCGCAGCGGCGTTTATACGTGTGGCTGCCCACTGGCGCTCTTCCTGCTCCAGCTCGACAGGTTTCTGGCGGGGATCAGAGGCGAAATTAAATAGGGAACGAAGGCACTTGCGAAGTGGGTTAGTAATTAGGTTAGCTACGGGTGCTAGAGGTTTGGTCCCTCGATTTCCTCGCAGTCTTTGTTAAGGCACTTGGATAACTGACCACCCGGTTTGCTAGGGCTTCTTGCGCTGTTTGTGTTGGGCAAGAGGAAACAATAGAATGGAGTACAGGAAATAGATATTATAGATTATAAGGTCAAGGTTTTCAGTTTAAAATGGATACAATTACTGACAATATAAAATAACATAAGGCCTAATATGGAAAAACGAAAAATAACTTAGGCAGAATATTTTAAAGTGAACTTCCAACAAAAGTTGCTGCTAATTTAGTTGTCAAAAATGAAAACCTTTTTGATTCAGATAAGAAATAATATAATAAATAATATTATTAATAATAAATTCGCTTGGAACACTTACATTGCCCAGTCGCTTGGGCGGTGAGACGCTTTTCGGTGGTGCGTTTCCCCTTTTCGCTATGGAGGAGATATTTTTTCCCGGGGAGCTCTTTGGTCGTCCTGTTCCACCTCCAGGCTTCGCTGGTGATTTCTTCACCTCGCGGTCTGCAACGGTGATTGTTTTCCTGGGACTACTGCCCACAGTTTGCGATCGTCGCCGGACAACTTGGCCACTTCGTCTGCTATTGGTTTGGCTGCTGTTCCTGAGAGGCAATGATCGCGGTGTGCTGGGAGCACTAATCTCCCCTAGCGCCTGCGGTTCCGAGTCGTAGCCGTGTGATAGTTTCGGACTGAAGAGCCTCTTCCGAGCGGAAGAAGAAGCCGCCATTTGCCGCCTGTCCTCCTCCATTGTCAGAAAGTCATCCGCATCCTGGAAGGAGGATATCTTAGGCGTGAATGAGTAACGCTGCAGGTCTCCCGTGCTGGTGCTTTGCGACATCAGACCGTCAGTATTTTCGGTGCCCGAGGAAACGTCGATTTCAGCACACAGTTCCTCTATGAGCTGCCGCTGCTGATCATCAAAATGGGACTGCATGCGACGACGTTCCTCCTCCTGATAGATGACCAATTGCTTCATCCGCTCCCGATGCCCACGCAGATAGGTGCGCACTCTGGCCTTCCGACTGGCTTCCAAGGCGCCATGCTCGTCCAGCGCCCGTTCTATTATGCGCTCCACCTCGCAATCCCGCCTGGAGCAGCTGCTGCCTGCGGCTGTGCTGTTAGTCCCGATGGTGGCCTTGGTTGCGGAGCTAGTGTAACTATTGTTGCTGTTGTTGCTGCAGATGCTCCTAGCACTACGGTTCACCCGCTTCGCCTGAGACTCGATGGTCTGCTTCTGGAAGTTGGCCAAACTCTGGCTGGGCTTGATGGCCAGGGCCTCCCTCTGCATGTGCTCTACGAGACCCTGGGAGGGCTCCTCCACGGTGAAACTTCTCGAGCGCTGAAAGCTAGCTGGTGCTGCCAGTGGACTGCCGAGCTCCTTTGCCCTTGTATCCTGATGCTGCTTCCGCTGATCCTCGGCTATCGCAGGACTTGGGCCCAGGATCTTCTTGTCTGGAATTTTGGGCAGCAGCTTGCCCACTCCCGACTGCTCGAACTGCAGGATACGGTCGGTAATGCGATTATGCCGTCTGGGGGAAGTGTTGTCTATTGGCTCCTCAAACGGCTGCGGCGTGGGCGGATCCACCTGTATGGCGGGCAGCTGTATGCCCAAGACCAGAGTCTGAGGTCGAGCCTGGTCCCGTGTGCTGTCATAGATGAACGTGGGCGTCTGCTGCAGCTGCGACAGACTTCTGCGACTGGCCATGTCGGAACCCGCCGAGTTTCTGGCCAGGCGGTACTGCTCCTCCAGCCTTTCAGCCATCTGGCGGGCCAGCTGCGCCTCGTGCCTCTTAGCGCTCGTCATCTGGAACAAAGTAAGAGGGTTACGCCTAAGTATATGCCACTCCCTGGCCAAGAATTTAAATCACCAGCGGTGGCAGTATGGGCTGCCCGTCCAAGCGGAACCGAAAGGAGACAGGGTCCATGGAAGTGAAGCCACTGCCCTGAGTGGGGGCGCTCCAGATCGATATGGTGGTCGTGGCCGTTGGTGTGGTGGCCTCGCTCTGGCTACGGCTCAGCTCAACTGCAGCCAGCAGCTGCTCCATTGCCCTGCTTGAATGGAGAAGCCATCAGATTGGGTAAAAGCAGTAATTAAAAGCCCGTAAACAGCCGTGATCCGTAACATCCCAAGACCCACTCACCACGTTGCATCCATTGGTGTTTTGCTACTGGGAATTTTCGTTGGGATGTCAAAATGTCAGGCAGCCTTCTCAAAGGGGAGATAAACCTATTTGTTTTGTTAAAATTCGTTCTATGTCTGCTATGTTTCAGTTGCCATTAGAGATGACGATGGCACTCCCGAGGCCTCGACTTCCCGCCAAAAATTAGGCAACCTCTTGCCGCTCATTACATTCACAAAATTCAGCCCCGCATCGTTGAGGGCTTGGCATGTAGTTCGTAAGTTGTCTATCGTGGATCGCACTTGCTTTTTAGAGCCCCTTGAATAGCATTTAATGCAGGAAATACACAAATTTTCAAACAGCGATTCAAAACTCACACGAAGCCCATGCAACTCTGAAATCGGTTATCGATAACATGCTGTCACCTCCATTTGAAAGTCGAGTTCTTATTAAAAATGAAAGAAATGTACAGAATTTCAAGTAGCAGCCAGTTTTAAGATCTGTATATAATTAAAGGGCATTATTACATGGCTTACATTTGCGTTCAGGAGTATAAAGCGATTGAGCTTCCAACATAAAAGGTGTATTCTAATTCTGCTACAAATTAAAGTAAACACTAGTTTTTGAAGCGCAACGTTTAATTGAAATGAGTTGAGTTTTTGAGCTCAACAACACCTTTCAGCAATTAAGGGAAAACATATGTAGATGTATTTGCTCTAAATAATTGGCATTGCTAAAATTGCTCAAAGCACTGCTCGTCTAATTTGAGTTAAAAGTCCAAAATTTCTATGTTCCTTGTCTTCATGCCCAGGGCTGAACTCCTACTTTAAGTGGATCGATTCAACAAAAGTGCTAAGTGCCTTGGTGCTGCTTATATTTGTATGTTTTTGTTTAATTGGGTTTAAGCAAACTAATGTAAAACAGCTGACCGAACTTAACGCTTAGAAGATGTTTATTGGAACGGTGTGGTATATTGTGGTATTTGCTTCTGCGGTGGATGGTATTTTCCATCGTTCTGCGCGCGGTCACATTCACTGGATGTTTTTTTCATTGCGCTGGTTGTTGTTGTGGCGCGATCGAATTTGTTTGGAATTCGGGAGTCAGCATAATATTTTCGAAAGTCTTTTTGGAAAGCACCAGCAACAGCGAAAAGTATGCGAATTCTGTCAAAGCTTGTCCATGTATTGTGCTCGTAACTTATGTTTGCATTTGTTATGTGTGTTGTTATCTAGTTACAAAACGATCGAAAATCGTGTTCGCCAGAACGTGCGGAAAAATTAGTTGCGCTGAAAATATGAATTACTTGCAGTTTAGACTGCTCCAGATTTCTCTCTTTAAAGTAGCGTTGTAAATGTGTGTAAGGAGTGCGTGTAGTCGTGTGTGTGTGCGTGAGCTGGGGTGTTCTGTTTGTGCAAAAGTTTTTTTTTTTTTTAAAGAATTTACCAGCTTCTACTTTGTATTTTAGGTGGAATACAAAGTCAGTTTTGCCCTTAACCGTTCTCCCCGCTCCCTCTTCCTTAATGCATATACGGTAAAAGTGCAAGGAGAACAAAAAGCGCCAAGTTTCGCACATACATGTCTACATATGTATGTATATACACACGCTGAGAGTGTTGTGTTTCTGTGTTGTTGTTTTTTTTTTTGTGTATCATTCTGCGACGCAATTGAAAAAGACATCGAAGGCCAAACAACTTAGCTTTTTATACGTTTTTGTATAGCTCTAGTTGTTGTTGCTGCTCTGTGGGGCGTTAGTTTTTGGCTCCGTTTTTGTTATTATTATTATTACAACTTTTCCACGCGCTCCGCTCTCTGCTTCTCTCCCACATGCTTGCTATCGTCCTCTCCCACGCTGCAGTGCCATCTCACTCGCACACAGCCGGTAAGCCAAGCAGTAAACAGCAACAAGAACAACAGCAACACAACAACAACAGTGGCGACAATAGAAGCAAAACAAGGGAATAAAGAAAAAACAAGACTACATATGTATGTACTTCGGAATAGGTTGATAAAATAAGTATTTCGAATTGTGTGGTTGGTTAATCACTGGTGGAAAAGTCGCAATTCCAATGCCACCTTTTCCATGCTGCACAACGCAGTTTTCTTTGTTTTTAATTTCCGTTCGCGAAAAACAAGTGCGCTGGTGTGAGTGAGACAGGCCCTCAAAAGCCAGAAAAACATGCAAAACAGGCAAAAACATTTTGGTAAATTGCCATGTAGCCGAAATATTATTGCTCATGCAACCGTTATAAATATTGTTATTTTATTTTCTACGCAGCAGTCGCGAATTTTCAACAAAGAGCAAGCATACAGAAGGAATATAAGAGGGGAAGGACGAAAGCGAAGAGAGCAACAGCCAAACCCCAAACCGTTACTCTGCCCATGCGCACAGCTGACCCAGAACCTGGCCTAACGGTACAGCGATTGTGTCTGGACAGCAAGCGAACACTGACAGCGAAACGGAACCGGAAGTCGCCTTCAATCGCGGAGCGGAAAAGAAATCAGCCCGCCAACCGCGGGAGCCGAAAATCGAAATCACAACCCACGAAGGCGGTTCGCAAAGTGTTATCTTTGTGCTACGCTTGTACAAAATGTTCCAAGTCCTGCCCCGTCCGTCAAGGTCCACGCTCCACTGTGGAGCGGCAGCCTTGGTCACAGTCCTCCTAATGACATGGTAAGTCGAAAGTAACTGTGGACTCCATGACCACCAAATGGAGTTTGGATAGGCACATTTCAAATTCATTGCCAAAATTGTTATTAGCACTAACCTGGTAAAAGTGGCAATTTTACACAAATGGGTTGCAAATCTGAAATTAGGGAATTTCAAGGGCCATGCTGGAAAATGAGGGAAATGATTTGTTAGACAACAAATTTAAAACACAATACAATTTATAGTATGTTTGACTCTCCGACCGTTTTTGAAAAATGTGAAGCATATGAATGTAAATTTGATGAACAAGAATAGCAGCACTGTGATTTCTGCCAAAAGTTGACAATTGTCGGCGGGTGTTAATTAGGCCAGTAATCTCTATAAATAGCGGGAGAATATTAAGGCCTATAAGAGCCCATACGCACTCGAATGTGCACATATGTACAGTACATATATGCATTTTAATTGGGTCGAGCGAGTCCGAATTTCTTCCCAGCCATTTCAGTCGCATTCCCAAAGTGAATATGTAAAGTATAATGTGTAAAATCGCATGGTCGGCGACACAAGCCAAGTTGTGGAGCTGTAGGAGGAAAAGAAAGAACCGCCTCGCGTGGCCAATTTCGAGCTGAAAGTTGCAATGTTTTATTTTCGGAATATATGTATGTGGTGCACACATGAAGATTGTTCCACATATGTAAAGGTGCACCGAAATGAAGCTCATGAGCATGCATATGTATATGTATCCAAACACACCTATGGCCACAGCCGTAGAGCTCGCATTTGAAGGGCGACTGAAATCGGCATCTCAGATGGTGGTGCTTCTTTAATTGATAGTTTTTAATTGCAAAACATGTTTAATGTGCAAAGCAGCTAAAAGTGGTGATTACTGTTATTTATCAGAGCAGCCAATTTTTGAAAGTAGTGTATAACTTCGTGTTTATTTGCGCACTTGTCAAACTGATACAAAGAGTACCAATTTCCGTTCGTTTCGCTGATTATAAATCAGTTCTATTGACTTAGGCTCAGTTGTAGTTGCGCCGGCGATCTTTTGTACGTGCTTACACCTTCGTTTTAGCTGGCTGAAAGGCCCCGCCCTTCGCCCCCGTCGCGCGTCCTTGCTTTATATAAATACTCACTGGTACATAAAATGTCACTCCATGCCCATGCACACCGACCACTCCTCCGCCCATTTAAAGCGTTCTGTGTGGCGCAATTAACCGAACAGAATTAAATGAAATACACAGCAGGAATGCACGCAGCCGTTTGGTACGGCGGATTGTATTCGGGAAACCCATTTCAATCGATTCATTCACCAAACTCAATGTTACTATCTTTATTGGGCTGAGTTCGGTGCCACCACTGGCTACTATTGCCCGTCATTGTTTGTGGAGTCCCATGCACGCTGCACGCCTGTTGCCCAAGTACTTCATATAATGTAATCATCTGCCACTGAGGCTTCAGGCGGGTGTCCACTGTACCAGCGAGAACATCTACGACAATGTAACGCTCCGCATCCGTATCTAAACGCGACAATTGCGCTATATTTGCTTTCTGCTTTTTTAGCCTCTGCACTTGTGCCCCACTAGCTCCCAGCCCCACTTCGTAGACCAAAGCAGGGAAAGGCAGCGATCGCATCCGTCCCGTCCGGGCCGAAAAAGCGCTGACCACTCCAAAACTAGCCGCCAAGATCAATCCAAAGTGCGAATTAGCGGCGAAACAGCGCGATAATTAATTAGACGCTTTCAAGAGCAAAACAAGTCGTCAGCGTTTCGTAGGGCGAGCACATAAAAACAAGCAAACAAACACTAGGGCACAGCAAAGTCAAACGAAAGCCAAAACACTCGATAGAGTGTTTCTGCAGGCGGAAACCGATGCGATATACACTGGCGAAAATTCACGGCGATAGCTGTTTCCTTCTAAAAGAAACCGTCAAGTCGTTCGGAGTCATTTCTTCTTTGCAAACTGAAACTATAGAGACTATATGTAGACAAACACCAATTTGTTCCAAATGATGTGTACGCGAGGCCTTTTGCTCAGTGTATGCCAGATAAACACTACGCGGGCCATAAATCAAGCAATCGCAACACCGAAGCCCATAATACCCTCCTGGTTTGGAGTTTACTTCCAGTTTTGTGGGTTGGAACCGAGCGGCGTTTGAATAATTGATGAGTCAGTCAGCTGATTTTGCCTGCCTGACTGCTGCTACAGTGGGCCCTCTTTCCGGCGGACTGGTGGTGCGTAGTTCGATAGCTTTGCTAGGAGGAGGAGCCAGCAGATCCGCAGAGGGGCAACACGATCGATGGGGCGATCGTCGCCTTCGTCAGCTATCTGGAATTTGCTAAACGTTTGTTTTGTGTTTTCATTTTGCACAACTTGTTTGCGGCAGCAGTGCGATTTATTCGAAACCGAATAATTCATGCCCTTGCCAGTAGCTTGGGATTTAAATAAAATCGACAGAAAGCGTGCAATAAATTAATTAGGGTTGGCAAATTATAAATAAATACGCTACTCCCCGACGGCTTAAAATAGCAGAAGTTCCAGAAGTGACTGTTCGAATTAGTTGAAAGCCAACCGATGAGATTGCCCCATCCGTTAGCAAAGTAGATTATGCATACACATGTTTCCAATAGCTAAGCATAGCAATCTGAAGCACAAGAGTGTGAGGCGAACTGCCAATGAACCGTGCGTGGGCCTTAATGTCACGATACGCACTGTAGAAGCGTTCTGACGTTCAATGGAAATGAAACGGCCGAAAATACGCAGCTCGGTGGACCAGGTTTGACCAGGTTTGACCAGCTTTTTGCTTCTTTTTGGGAGAGGAACTGGGTACGCTTCTGCTTCCTGCTAGAACATGTTTCGCCACTCGCTGGCGGTTATTAATTATTGCCCTAAACAATAATAGACATCCAGCGTAATAGACATCATCGAGTCATCGGTCTATCTCTGGCAGTAGCTGGCGAGCCTTTGTCCCCTGTAGTTCGGCTTCATCTAAGGCTATAATTATATCCGCTAAAATCCACCACCTCGACGTGCGCTGTGATCGTTGCAGGGTCCGACCGCTGGGCGTGCTATTCCTGGGACTACTTGGCTATTGGATCTACTGGACGCGCTGCAGCTTCCGCGTTGTGCCCACGGACGAGCTGCGCGGCAAGATCAACACCTGGCTGCAGAGGATCGACGACTGGCGCCACGGCAGTCCCAGCATGTTCTGCTTGGCCAGCAGCGGTTGCCTGGGCACCCTCGCAGTGCTCGGTCACCTCATCTCCGGCTCCACGCTGGTCCTGACCATCCTGGTCGTCTCCGCCCTCGTCTCCACCAAGTACAACTTCAAGCTGCTGAAGATCGAGCACAGGGGTGAGTCGTCATTCAGAGGGCATAGGCATCTTGTGGGTATTAGTGGTAGGGAAAAGGATAATGGTAATTACTTAACCGCGCGTTGTCATTCTTAATATGTTATGCTATGTGTGTGATATGCATTTATTGTCGACTTGTTTTTGTTTACTCGGAAATAGCTGGTATAGATTAAGGAAACCTTGTTCTGAATGGTTGTAACAATTTTTGTATTGCCAATTTGTTTTTTTTTTCAATTCAAATAATCTACTTCTCACTTCAACCGAATTGCACAAGTAACAGCAACCTTAATACGGCATGATTACAATATATATTATTATGTAGACACGAAAAGAAGTAAAATAATATTACCGAGTAATATGGGAGTGCGTAATTTAAAAATGTGTTGTTTCTTCAGACTTCCAGTGGTCGGAGAAGCTGAACTACAACAATTTGGAAGCCGAGGGGGAGGATGAGTTCCTGCCGGACGTGAACGAGTCGAATCTGTTCGTGCTGGAGCGGGCCAGCGATGTGGCCACCATCAGTTCGCCCACCGAAGCGAATGACGAGGATGATGACGAGCGCAGCGACGACATACCGTCGGAGCTGCTCATCCCGGATGTGATACCCGAGATTGATGAGCACTCCACCGACGAGGACGATGAACTAGCCCCGCTGGCGACCAAGAGGCAGGAGAAGCCGCAGCAGCAGCAGCAGCAGGAGCAGCTGGCCAGGGAGGGCGAGGATATGAACTTCCGCAAAGGCCACTTCAAGCGCGACTCGTCGCTCTCCACCACCTCCTCCTCCTCGGAGGAAAGCCTGTCCAAGGGGCTGCAGTTCCCCGATCACAGCACTGTAGATGCCAGTGGTAACCCTCAGTTGCGCCAGATAACCGCTGGACCGGATCCCGCAGGCGAGCTTGTGGCCCTGGCCGTGAAAACGCAGGCTCAGGCGCTGCTCGCCAACAGCGGGAAGCTCCTGCCCAGCCTCGTTTCCGGCCTGGTGCAATGGGGAGTAGGTGGTGCTGCCGCAGTTGGTGCCATCGGCGATGACACAGACGCAAGTCGAGACCGCGACCAGCAGCGCATTGTCACCGCCCTGGATTCGTCGGACGAGAGCGATTTTGAGATTCTCGAATCGGATGACTTCAAGTAAAGATCAGATCAATCGGCGTTCGGTCCGATTTGTCGTATTATAAAGCTATTATCTTAACAAACATATGCATACACACATAGAACTCAGCAAATTGACAGACAAACAGACGACGCCAACAATTGGAGCGGTTCTATTTTCCCTGGTGGAGATCAGTTATATATTTTGCTATACGCTAGTGCTATATATACATATATATTTAACTAATCATCCAAAACTATCCTAAAGTTAAGCCAAAAGCTTCCCCTACCCTTGACTTCCTTTCTCTTGCTTTTTACATTTTTGTTTACTACTATGTTACTTTATGACTTTAGTTTGTATTTGTCCTTTGTGTTTATCTACTGACCACAAGCGGAAGCAACATCGAGCGACGGCACGCAACTTGTACATATACTACAGATACACTTACCTATATGTATGGCTTATATTGATGTCGCTGTGAGGGCGTTAAGCTACTTAATCTGAATCCAAATCAAAAGCCTGAAGCAGCAATTAGAAAACCAAAAAAGTGGCAAATAAGAAACATTTCTGGCAGACAAAAACGTGAAGAAATTTGGTTCGGTGCTATCTTAGAACGCATTCACCATATAACGTGCACAAATCATTTCAGCAATAAACGAAATTGGAATACGTTTGTCCTTTCTCTGGCGACTAGTCGCTGGCCATCACTGTGCGTTGTACAACATAAATTAAACATTAAATCCAGTAACACACTTTTTTTTGTATTCCTAATATTATTTGCGCTATGTATTCTAAGTTGTAATTTAATTTGCGAAACAAAACTAAATGTGATTTTGTAAAAACAAATGAAACTGAAATAAAAATCAAAAAGACCTCGAAATGCGCTGTCGACTGCTGTCAACTGTCCAAGGCATGGGATTCCACTTCAGACTCGATGGCAGTTACGCTGGGCTTTTCTGACTCGGCTTCCTGTTTTTCGTCCTGCTGCTCCGTGTAATGACTCGCCTCCAGATCCTGGCCCTGCTCATCCTTTTTCTCTGTGATTTTCGCCTTCGCTCCCTTCCGCATGGGAATCGTGTCCAGAATGGCCGCAGTCCAGTCCTGACCGGCAGCCACCTTGGTCAACAGCTCAAAGACTGGAATAAATGTGCAATTATTAGCAAGGGAAGTTTTGAGTACAAAAGCAATTTCTACCACTTACCGTGGTAGGTGCTGAGCACGGCCCTCGTCTTCATGTCCACGTGCTCGCTCAGCGGGAGGCGAGCGGTGGTCAGGGCCGCCTCCGTGGCCCTGGAGTGGCACAGGCCCTTGAAGTGATTGTGGTCCACCAGGCCCCCGATGACGTAGGTGCAGCCCGGCTGCAACTTGTCCAGCACGCGATCCGACTCGCAGGTGAGGTAGACCAATTGGCTGCGGTCGAAGACATCGGTATGGCCGCGATCAAAGTGGTACTGCACGTGCCAGTTCTCCCAGCCGTCGTTCTTCTTGAACGACTCGTGGATGTGACCGTTGCGCCGGATGCCTGTGAAGTGCAGCTTGCCCGGCTGTGGGCTGCGCCGATTGATGGTGTAGATGCGAAGGCACTGCTTCACGCACTTGGCGATGTCCCGCTCATGCATCAGATCGTCGTAGTCGAGGTCTATGGCAACCGAGAGGCAAGACTCTCCGCCGTCTGCCACCTGGCGTTTCTTCAGCTCCTTGCGGGAGGGGCCCGTCCGGACGGGCAGCCCCAGCTCCTTGGCCTCCCGACGCTTCTGCTTCTTCTTCTCGCGCTCCCGTTCGCGTCGCAGCTTCCGGAGTTCGGCAATCTCCGCCAGCTTGCGCTGCTTCTTAAGCTGGTTTTTGCTCAGCGGCGTCCCGGGCGTCGTGCCCGGGCAATTGCTCAAGCTGAGCACCGGTGGGGGCACCGCCGGGGGCGCCTCCTTAGGCACCTGTTCCGTCGTGTCCATGGACTGAGCTCGTAACTAATCGTAGTTAGTTTTAAAAATTCAACTTGAGTGGCAGGGAAATCGAGTTGGAAAACAGCTGATTTGACAGCCTTTTCAGCGTGCTGCGCCTAACAGCTCGGTGCTGTGGCTAACAGCACTCTGTTACGTGCGCAACGTGCTTCAAAGCCGAAAATAGCAGGATTCCCGTTATTCCATTGATATTTTTGAGTTGTTTTGAAATTCTGCAAGTACATACATAGCTTATGTAAGACATAAGCAAGATTTTTGAAATTCTTACATTGTCAATTTGTCTTTTAATTGTGAAATAGTTTATAACGACTGACTTGTGGGCGTTGCTAATCGTTTGGAATGGACAACGCAATTATGCATACACCCAAAGGAAATCCGCCTATTTTTTAAAAACGTGTGCGAGACGGGTTTTCCGGCTTGTGGGTCTTATTTTGGCAACAAGCAACAAGTCTGCATTTTGAGAATGTTGAGTTTACCCGTCTGAGCAACAGGTGTACCCACTTGAATTAACCCTTAAATATTGAGCCTGCAGCCGCTAAAATTTAAAGAAGTTTCATTCCCTTATACGCCATAAATCCTCGAAAGCCAGAAATGTAATCGCAGTTTAGTGAGTCTGCTACTATTTTTAAACAAGAGCGATTTACGAGAATAAAATAAACGTGTTCCTGCGTGTAGTTCAGACAAAACTATTTCGGGTCCATCTCCGATTGGCAGCAACTCAGCAATTCGTCAGTTGGGAAATACAAATGCGCAAACTGAAGTGAAGCTTTTTGCTTCTTATGCCTACTATCGCCAGCCCTGTTACTTAACATCCAGGGCTTTTTCAGTTATCGAAAACCGATAGCCCGATGACTGCAGCAGGCCAGGTGAAATCAGAAGATATTTAATAAACTTCATTGAGCCGGCTTTGCGTGGGAACGTGCGTGTGAAGTAATCACCCGGAGAAGCGGCCGAAGCAAGTAGTGAACCTAGAGCCGCTGCTGCCAGTGGAAGAGAACCCTCTGCGAGGACCTGTCGTGCACGTTGCATATTGCCTAATTTCTGGAGGGGATTGGCCAATCCAGTGTCAACCATGGCAACAGTGGCCCTTTTGTCGCGGCAGCGCATGCTCGCCTGCTCCTTGCGGCTGTTCGGTGGCTCTCACTCAAGGTGCCTGTCGGCGATGCCCGGGACCAGGACAAGCAGTCTGGCTACCGATTCCTGGCCTCTCGCGAGTCGCCAAAGCCTGCTCCTGCCCGCCATCACCATCCGCTTCAACCATAAGTCGGCGAACCCAACGGCGGCTGCACCAGCGCCCGCGGTTAACGACTCCTCCGCCGGCAACAAGGATGTGAGCGCCACCAATAGCACCACCTCGAGCGACCTCTTTGGCGAGGCGGCTAACATGGGTCTGTTCGCCAAGTTCAAGCACATGTACAAACAGTACTGGTACGTGCTCATCCCGGTGCACGTGCTCACGTCGGTGGGCTGGTTTGGAGGCTTCTACTACCTGTCAAAAAGGTGCGTACCCGACCCCAGGAGCCGCTCCTATAACGCTCCTATTTCTTGATAAATCCCTCCCATTGCAGTGGCGTTGATGTGCCCGCTTTGCTGCAGTACGTCCACTTGAGCGAGAACATCATTGAGAAGGTGCAAGGCTCGGATATGGGCCACTACGCCATCGCCTACCTCTGCTATAAAGTGGCCACGCCCCTGCGCTACGCACTTACATTGGGTAAGCCTCGGCTTTGACTAGAATCAGATATTCTTTAGAACAGATTATGCTAAGCACTCAATTTATCAATTGAAGGTATTTCATACATCACTTAAATTCCAACCTACTGAAGAAGTTGTGCCTAATATCATTGAATGCTCCTTACCATTTAATCTCTTCATCCCTTTTGCAGGTTGCACCACCGTGTCCATTAAGTACCTGGTGCAGCACGGCTATATCAAGCCCATGCCCACCAAGAACGAGCTAATCAAGATGTACGAGGACAAGAAGGCCACTCGAGCAAGCGCTAAGGCGGACAAGGCAGAGAAGGACGAGAGTAAATGATCCTCGGCCTCGGGCGAGGACGTCGCCACTTCGGCGGTGTCGTTGCCTTTGCCACAGTCTCAAGGACCTAAACCGCCGCCACCGCTGCTGCCATTGTCGATGCCCCAAAGGATCGGCGACCAGCAGCGACCGGCCGCCGGCGAGCGGCGAGCAGTTGACCTGTTGTCTTTTTTGTTAAACTGCCGCCGTTCTTGCTGGCACTGGTGCTCAACGAACATAACTCTTGTCCGGAATCATAGTCGATCGCAGAAGCAGCAGCCACCGCACTGATCCACCCATGCATACACGTCCGCTACCACAGTTAAATAGCCACCATCTCCACCATCCCACCCATCCCACGTATTCAGATAGACACTCTTGGTGCATATGTACTTTGCCCATGGTTTCTGCTGCAGTTACGAAACCGCTGGACGCCCTCAATGCCCCAATAGCAAACCGCATACTTCACAAACCCAAAACACAAAGCCGCAGGACGTGGAGTTCAGTAGTAGTTGTTTGTAGATATATTTTGTAAATGTAAGAATGTTGTCGCAAACCTAACTTTTAAATAAAGAAAAAAGAAGCAGAGCCCTTAGTTCTGGGTGTGACCCCAATCGCCTGAACTGGGTTTCAAATTGTTGACATATATAATGAATGCTGTTTTTACTTATTCAATTTAGCAACGAACTTCTAATTAGGGTGCTCAATCCTAGATCCGAAGGAGGTGATGATATGATTAAATAATATGCTTTAGCTGCTGCTTTTACTGCTGGTCGATGATGAAGTCGATGAGATGAATAAAACAGATTTCAAATTTATTTTCAAATTGTATTTTTGCGTTTATTTTTCCGTTTTCTCTTGGTGTTTTTAATGATTTTTTTGCCTTCCTTTTTGGTTTTTCTTTAACGTTAGTAAAATATCCAACAATTATAATAACTAATATTTAAGCCAGAAAAAGGAGTTGCACTTTTTTACAAATAAATAAATAGTGTGTCTTGGTTACTTTTTTATCTTTCGTCCAAATTTCAGTGTGCTTGTAGTTGAATTGGAGTTTGTGTAGTTCTTCATGGAAACAGTTCTGTTGGAAACAAGTTACAAAGTTACATTATGTACACATCCTGTTTCGCTGAGTGTAGTGAGTGTTGGTGTTTGGGTGTATTTATCCATATCATTTACATAAATACAATAAATAAATAAATTACATAAGATATATTATATATGTAGGTATAAAAACAAAACAAGCAACAAAAATATATATAGCCAGTATAAGTAGGATTGCTGGGTTGTGGAAAAACGCTCGACTTAAACTACAAAATACGCACAAATTCAAACAAATAAAAAGTGTATTTCGTTAAGTGGTGGCTGCATACATAACTTTTCTTCTTTGAGACTAGTTTTGGTAGCTTCTCGCAAGCCAAACAAAATAAAAACACAAAAAGTTTTATAACATTGAAACGAACTTCGTAACGGTCTTATGTACCCTGGGAAAATTCCCTGTTACTGGTTGGTGTCTTGTTTCGGGAATCACCCTTTATTACATGGGCTGAATGGTTTTCTTGGTTGGTTGATTGGTTTGTTGATTGGTTGGTAGGTGTCTTGGCCAAAGGATAACAATGGGTTTTTGGTGTTGTTGCTGGTGATAGTTTCTTTTTAAATTTTACTACTAGCAATTATCATAAGTACGTTTTCACAATTCAGATTTCAGCTTCACTTCGCGTCCCCTTTCATTCAATTGGTTGCTCATTTATCAATTAATTAATATTACTTTCTCTTTTAGTTGCTAAAAAGCCATTTCTCTTAGCTACGGTGATTTTTGTGGTGCGATTGTATTTAGTTAAGTTTAGTTTTTTTTTTTTTTTGGTTTGGTTTGAACCGTCTTTAGTTTGCAGTGCTTATTGCAGTTAATTTTGTTTTGTATCTTTATGAAATATATTGCACAAGACTTGAATTGAAAATATATATTTAGTTTTCTTTCCCACGCTCTATTTAATTTGTTTATTTTTACACACAACCACAGGACACTTTCCTTCGGCAAACCAATGGAGTCGATCAATAAGAGAGAGATAGAGGGACACGCGAAAAAAGAGACAGGGAGAGTACGTCGATGCAAATTGAAAATTTAGTTTTAATAAATAACACTTAGAAAGAGAGAAATATTGAAACATTGTATCGTTGATGCCGCTGATTGCCTTCAGTATCCTTATAAAAGAATATCCTGTAACTAGTTAACTAGTTAGTAATAGCTTCTCTTGCGTTTATCCGGGGGCTTGAGGTCGCTTGGTTTGCCGAAAGTTGTTATTGCACAGATTCATTGTTTCTCGTCGGAGTTATATTCCTCTTCCTTTAGTTGTATAGGTTAGCCATCGAAGTTCGTTTTTATATGTACATTTATTCTCGTTTTGTCTGCACTTCAGTTTTTACTTCTTCAGTTTTTTCCGTTTCCGTTTCCGTTTTTGTTTTGGTTTCTGCTTTAAGTTAGGAGTTAGTTTTGTTTTGCGTTTAAGTTGAGTTAAATTAAGTAAATTGTTTGTATGCAATTCTACGAAGCGTTTCTAAGAGTTCGTTTGATCCATTTCCTCCTGCTCCCATCCCACCCATCCCATGGTCATTTTGATTTCCATCACATCTGGAACCCCATTGTACTCGACACTGCACTTTTCGGTTGCCGTAGAGCACGGATGGGCCTTACGTACGCTCGTAGAAAAGAATATAGGCACTGGATGAAACGAGATGGTTTTCGGACAAGGCCTCGCTGACTCTGCAAATGGAGATTGATTTAGCCGGCTTGGGGGCATATAGGCGAGGGATATAAGACTTACATATTATCATTAAATTCGTGCCACTTGCGGGAGACTGGGTGCTTGCAAAGGGCAACATAATGACCACCAGCCGTTGAGCCTGTTGGATAAATATTGGTAAGTGTACTCAAGCCCAGACATGTGCAACTTACCCATATGATTCGATATCGCATAGAGCGAGTAATGCACATTCGAGTTGGAGTTGGCGCCATAGGAGCCCATGTTCAGCTCGCTGTCTGATGTGGGAAATTCAACGATGTTGGACAGCTTGCTCCAGCGCGTCTCCGAGAAGCGTTTTAGGTCTGTAAAGAAGCCAGTACTTAGCATTCCCCTTTCTGACCTTGCTGGAAGGACTTAACCCATCCTTGTGCGTGGAAACTTACGTATAACCAGATATTTGGGGAAACGCTGGATGGTGAAGCTTTTGGTGCATTTTCGCCGCGTCTTGCACTTGGCGCACGTGGGCATTTCGTCGCCGTCGAGGACCTCTTCGCGGATAAAGAGGTCGAGGCAAGCCTCTAGCTTGCAGCGAGACGAGGACGGCAACGGTACGCTCAGATCCCAGAACGGATCGAAGGTGACGCTGGTGTTGCCGCAGGTGGTGCACTTCAGTGTGCTTTTGAGCTGACCCACGAAGAGGTCACGCACTAGAGAGTTCTCGTGCCGCGTATACCACTCCCAGGTCAGGTCCGCCTTCTTATTGTCACTGCAGGGCAATCATTGATTGCATTCATTAGTAGGCAGGCCATAGGTACCAGTAATCGAGACCCACCTGAGATTATCATCAATGTTGAGCGTCTCACCCTTGACGCCCGAGTTGAGGGCCGAATGCAGTGAGTCAAGGAAAAAACGCAGGAACTCCTGCGCATCCTGTTGGTTGTAGTCGCTGTACATGCGGTGTTTGGTGGAGAACGCCCTCTTTAGCTCCATGGGCGTCACCGTGTGCACGTTGGAGGTCCACATCTCCTGAATGAGTTTGGCAAATTCTGCAAACGCAGAGGGGGTAAAAAAAGAACAGAACAATGAGCCCAGCCCATCCATCAACAAACAAACCGTGGAGTATCTGCTGATCCTTGGTGGCTGACGAGCGAGAGCCGTGGTGCGACCGCAAGAAGCGGGTCAGCTCTTGGGTGTGACTCAGGCACTGGATGACCGAGTTCATAAAGCAAGTGTTCCCGATGTTTCGCAGACCGCACAGCCCTGTGGACACGCAGAAAAGGGATTCTGATTAATTACAATGGTCTGGGCGCCGGTGTAGCCGACGGTTCTGGTTCTACTCCCCAATCGGGATGCGTGTGCTTGCATTCGCTAATGGAAGAATTACCATCCCTCGCCCGTCCCTCAGACTGCTGTTGACAGTTCTGCAGCGTTCTTTTTTCTTAAACAATATTTTTTTCCAAGTGATGCGAGTTGACATGAGATTTTACTTCGAATTTCAACAGATTTTTTGAGATATGAAGTTTACAGCTCGTTGCTCGTTGCAAAACCAACCTACACTTTTCATTACTTACTTCGATTGGCAGGTTCAAAACGGAACAAAACTATCCAAGCTGCACAGCTTAGGACTACGTCTTAGAACAAATGTGGCAAACAAATCTAAAACATCTCCCTTTAAAGTATTACCCACCTTCGGACTTCTCATCCCGCGACGAGGAGGCGCTCTTGTAGCCATCATCCGAGTTGTGTTTCAGGGATGACGCGTTGAGTGCGGAGGAGGTGCTGATGCTGCTGCGGCTGGTGCCGCTGTCCCGATCCCAGTACCGACTTGACGTGGGCGTCATGGGCGGCAGGACGCTCCGGGCACTGCTGCTACTCCCAGTGCCGCTTCTCGCCAGTGTCTGCGCAACAGAGAAAATATCGCACGTGAGTATGAATTGAGTTTTTACTCAAGTGCCCGAACGCAATAGCAACCTAGCGATGACTTTCAGTGATGGGGACATTCATTGCGGGGTTCTTTCATTAGTTTTGATATAGTTCGAAAGGTTATAATGGGAAATCTATCCAAAAAGCTCCATTCCCATCACTGATAATCTATAGCTACCTATTTGCTCGGGCGGTAGATTGATCGTTAGTATTAGGGTAAGGTTAAGTTGGTTAATTAAAGCAACTAGCAGGTTAACAGTAAGAGATTAAAGAAAAGCAACAATAAGTCGAAGTTAGTACAGGTGTTTTCCGTGTTTCATAATGCGGATGAAGGGTGAGGAAAGACAGCGGCAGCGATAGCGATAATAGACCAGCATGCAAAGGACAACACAAACGAAATAGTGCCTGGCGACAAATTGATAGCGAGAATTGAAAAAACGAGAGACGGTAACAAAGGAAAACAGTGTGTGTGATGAATCCAAAAGATGAATGGAGTAAATACATGTTCTAGCTACAAAATGTTGTCGTAATTTCAGTTGCTTGCTCTTGCCAAGTGCAAGAATTTCAAATGTCTTAATACTTATAGGAGGAAAACGGAATGAAGACAGTAAATAAACTAAACTGAACTGATCGGTGACCTGGCCAAGAACCGACTTACACTATCGCTGGCTGAGTTCGAAGCTGTGGCTGTGGCTGTGGATGTGACTGTGGCTGTGGCTGTGGAGACGGAAGACGTGGCTGGTGTGGGTGTTGCAGTGGCAGTGGCAGTGGCAACAGTAGGTGCTGCTGCTGCCGTTGCATCCTTGCTTGCCTTGGCGCTCAGGGCCAGGCTATCGCATTCGATCGCATTCGGCTGCCGGTTGCTGTGAACACCTCGCACCGTTACCTTGCTCGTGGGCTGGACCATTGCCGTGGCGGCTCCTCCTCCTCCTCCGACGCCGCCGCCAGTGGGTTGGCCTAATCCAGAGGTGGCCGCTACCGGCGTGCTAACACTATTCATGGTGGCTGTAGTGCGATAGGCGGCTCTGGTCAGGGAACTACTGTATCCAGCCGCCACGCGGATGTTGTCCAGGTCGCTGCTGTAGCGCTGCTGCAGGTTGCTGCTGCTACCACCTGCCTGCGATGCGTGATTGCTACGGCTGGCGCCGGACAACGGTCCGCCTCCCGCACCTGTGCCTGTGCCACTGCCAGGTCCTGTTCCCGATCCAGAGCCCGGAGTTTGCCTCTTCTGACCACTGAGGTTGTTGAACTTCTCTATGGAGGCCTTGATGCTCAGCGAATCAATGCCGTATCTTCTGGCATTGCTGCTGGTCCTGCTCTCCGCGTTCGTCTCGCCATTGGCCTGCCTATAGAGACCACCACTGAATTTCTCATAGCTGGCCGCGAAATTCAAGTGGGCAGATGCTATTATGGTGGACTTGGGTCGTGGATAGCGATGGCTGGCCGACTTGGAGCTGCTGGGCTGCGCCTGCTGCTGAACTTGATTTTGCTGGTGCCGCAGCTGCAGCGGCGGCGTGATGGGCTTGAAGTAGCAAATGCTCGTCTTGGCAGTGGATACTCCGCCGCCTCCAGAGCCACCAGTTGCCGGCGGATCATCGCTGTCTATGTAGCTAATGTCATCGTGTTGCTGTTGCTGGCGTTGCATGTTGTTATTGCCGCCGTTGTTGATGTTGCTGCTGCCACTGGCGTTGTTATTGTTGTTAGTGGTGTGTCCATTCATCATAGCTGCTCCAGCGGTCGCTTGGTTGTTATTGAGCGGTTTCAGCTTGCCGTAACTCCTGGTAGACGTAGAAGTTGCCGCCGTTGCAGTTGCCGTTGCAGTTGCCGTCGTGGAGCGGACGCTGTACTTGAGCACTCCGTTGCTGGTGTTACTGGGGGTGTTCCTGCTGCTGCTGCTTGTGGTGTTGGTGATGGTGGTGGTGCTGCTGCTGCTGCTGGTGGTGGTGGTGGTGGTGGTTTGCTGCTGATTGCCATTGAACATGGACGTGCGTCGCATATTAACCAGCGTTGGTGCCCGGCTATCGTTGTAGTTATTGTTCCTTGAATCCTCACTTGCTCGACTCCGCTTGTGCGGCTGCGACGTGGTTTTCACCTTGTTGGTAGTCACATGGGCATGGGCCACCTCACATTCGGCCTTCAGAAATGTAGGGTCCTTGTAGCTGGACACTAGGAAGAAGCGCTGGTTGGCCGCTCGCACCGGATTGGTAGCTCCTACTCTTGATCCTGCCGATCCTCCTGCTGATGGCACTTCCTTTGGACTTGCTCCTGATGCGGCTACTGGTGATGATGCTGCTTGCGTTGTGGACTGTAATTTGGATGCCTGTGGAATCTTGTGGAATCCCCTGGTCTTCTTAATGTCTAACATCATTCGACGGGATGGTCACCGCACTCTCTTTCTCTCTCTCCGCTGCAGTTGCTCCTATTGTGGTTACACTGTTGTAGCGTTAATTTATATTGCCTGCCTACAGTTGACCGGATACGAGATTTTGTGTAGTGTTTGCTTGTTTCCTCGCCGCCTGCCAGGTATGAACTACTCTCGACTAACAGGATAATCCTGTCCTGCTCCGCACTCTATCCTAATCAAATGGTATTTGGATGATCTTATGATGGTCTTATAGGGGGCTTGATTTTAGTTGGGAGTATTATTAGTTAGCCTGGCGTTTAGTTGGACTTGATTTTTGAGTTTAGTTTAAGTTAGAAGGGTCGCAATCTGCAAGAGTTAAGCTAAAAATACATAAAAGTGTAGACTTGATTAAATGATCGGCTTTTGCTGGGCTGACTGACGAACACACAGAAGGTGGAATTGGAATAAAATGAGGTAGGGTGGTCAATGGTTAATGCTGGGTTAGGGGGTAAATGGTTTCTTATTCGATCGCAAACGCCATATAGTCATATAGTTGTTCGGGTTGTGGTGGCACATGCAATTAGTCAATTAGTTTGGTTTTGGTTTGCGTTTTCGTTTTCGGGGGCAGCTCTTCTAGTCTCCGTTTTACTTGTGGACAATGTTTTTACCTTGCTGCCGTCGTTCAGCTTAAACGTGGCCGAGGTGCTCACATCGGCATTGTCCGCACTATCCTGGCCAACATCATGGCCTGCATCATCGGTGGTGTCCTGATGGCGCTCGTAAATGGCATTTCTTTTGGGCGAAGTTGAGAGCAGCGACAGGCCGTTAAGTTTGGCTTCCAGTCCGCCATTCGACTCAGCCGGCTTTCGCCCATTTGTAGGCGGAGGTGGAGGTGGTGGCGGCGGTGGTGTTGGTGCTGGTGGTGTTGGCGGCGTCGGTGGTGGAGCTGCTGCGCCAGTCTGCTCCACGCCCGTGCTTGTGGGCGCCGCCTCCACCTGGCTGCGTCGCGTGCGGCTGCTTCGGAGTGTAAAGGTGGCCGTGGGCACATCGCCAGTGCTGCTGCTAGTGGAGTACTTGCTCGAGCCCAGTTTCGGCGTGGAGGTCGAGGAGTCCCCTCCTGCATCGCTGCTGTTGCTGTACAGGCGGCTGTACCGACTGGCGCTGCTACGTGGCCGCTCCAGAGTCACCGTGCAGGTGGGCGTCGTCTCCTTGTTGCTTCCGTTTTCCAGATCCGCCTCAGAATGACCCGACCTGGAACGTGACAGTTCACAGTTGGGTTTATAGTTGGCCGGACTGTACTTTTCGTAAATGTCCAATCCGGAGGTGGCCACCAAACGGGCCAGCGATGGGGATGAGGATGAACTGGACAGCCGCTTGCTGCCATCGACGGCTTTGGTGTCTCTACCCGCACTGCTGCTGCTGTTGTGGCCACCACTTCCTCCGATGATCGGTGGCTTCTTGGTAGAATCGTGGCCACGCCGCAGCCCGTAGTCCTCCCTCTTGGACGAACCGCTCAAGCTGTCGCCGTTGGTGGTAATCTTGGACGCCGATTTGCGCGGTAACTTTTGTTTCCGGTTTCGTTTTCGTCGGTTGGGTGGGTTTCCGATTTGGATTATTTTGACGATTGTTTTTTGCGAAACATTTACAGGTGTCAATGAATTTGTGGTGGTGGTTTTTGGTTTTTGAATTGGAGTAACGGTAGGCGGTATCGTTAACCGGTAAACGGCAGCGATCAAACATGTTTCATGTTTATGTTTTCAATGGCAAAAGGAATGCGACAAAAACAAAATGTAAAGAAATTAAACATCAATGATATGGTCAATGGCTGGATTATACACAAATGAAACGCAAACGATACAACCGAAACAGTTAACACACAAATAAGGGATCAGACAAGGTCCTGATATCTCGAGGGCACTTGCCACAGATGTTTATGATGGAGGAAACCCCTGTCAGTTGTCCAAGTATGCAGTAGTAACCAGCTAATAGAACTTGCCGCGCGTGCTGCTTCTTGTCAACAGAACAAACCGTCAACTTCGGCACAACTTCGTATTCATATTCAGATGCCAGGTGTTGACCGAAAGTCATGACTAAGTGTAAAATGGCAAGGGGCGCACCTTGCGGCCGCTTTTGTTTTCCCTGCCCCACACCCCAAAAACGCGGAGCACAGCAAGCTTCACATGTGGTGAACTCACACACGGCCCACCCACACACCCACACGCACACACGCACGCACGGGCGGCAGAGACAGAGACAGAGACAGCGCTAGCCCCGTTGTATTAACCTTGTTGCGAATGCGCAATGCGGTTGGAGGAGCGAGGGGGATGACACAATTGCTGGTGCTGCGGCCTTTCGCCGTTATATTCCCGTTATTTCGGTGTTGTCATTCGACTGTTGCTCGCTTGATTTGCCATTGGATCTGTGCCAACAAGTGGTTCGCAGCTCTGTCCACACACACACACGCACTCTATGCCCCTGCGGCCATTGGAATGTGGCTGCGACTGCGACTGTGACTGCGACTGGGAAAGTGACTTGAACTGCGACTGCGACTGTGCATGAGCAATGACGCACTTGGCCATGTTTGCAGAGAAGTAGCTGGACATGTGGCGCCCTGGCCCTGGAGCTGAATGGGTTGGTTTCCCAGGGGGCACAGTGGTCGCTCCTTTGAGCGACCCGACAGCTGTGCAACTGTATGTTTTTCGGTGCTATTTTTGGCGAGGCACAGATACACCCCAATTGGCATTCAACCTATCAAACATTTGCTCACGAGATCGAGTCGAAAATATAAATTACATTCAAACGGAAGTCAGTTTAGAATTTCGCATATTAGCAGCATTAGTCACTGCATTACTATTCCTGGTTTTTTATACGCACTTCGTCATGACTTGTTCTTAGAAAAGTAAGTGAATGCCGCATATCTTTACATATCTGCCACTTTAGTGCTCAAAAGACCTCTCGCTGACCTCTTGAAATGGACTGGCATCGCTAAGGAGCGCCTACTGTACCGGTGTCCGCTGTAGCAGGTACAAAACCCGACAGACAAAATACACACACTACTCCCCAGTGCGTGAGTGCTCGTCGACGATTATGTGGGCGTGCATGGGTGAATCTGAATGGGTGTGCGGTGTGGTGTTTCGTTGTTGCAATGACAAAGTACAACACAAACAACACAAAAGCGAAATAATCAGCAAACCGAAAATGCCAAAATTAAATATTCTAAATGCCACCAAAAGGAAACTGTCATGGTTATGGGATAAAGGGATAAAGTAACACCAAAAGAGGCGGGTAAACCGGCGCGATTTTACAAGGTTTCGGAATGAGAACGTAGGGCGTGGGGCGTGGGGCGCGGGGCGGGAACAGGATCACCACAAATAGGGGCGTGGTCGCATGAACCATGAGCTATGAGTGAGTGTAGTCTGTTGTGGGGGTTTATTCTCGGGATCGAATGCATATAACCGAAAGCGGATTACCAACTAATGTAATGATTGCGCGGATAAAACTGACAGTTGCAGGCATAATACACGATGCAAATGCCAATGAAAGTTCTTAAAATGGGTGAAGGCCGCAAGGCTTTGCGAATCGAGTTGCTAATCTGAAAATCTTTATAATTTTGAAATTTGCAAATCATTGAAAGTCTAATTCATTGGAACCAGTTGCCATATAAAGCACCCAAGTCTTCCAACTCGACTTCTTTATAATAATACTTGATGCAACCATCAAATCGAATCAAATCAAGCAATAGCAATATAGTTTTACATTATTTTTACATGACCTTTAACGCCATATTTCCAGATGGCAAAAGATCTCTTCACTGAAAAGGTTTTGATGCTTGACTATACTAATATAATACTACCCTCATGCTACTGATTAAATGCCTTCACAATTTATAGAGCTTTCATATTGAATAAAATGCGTCTTCACCAAATATGCAGATACATAACGCATGATGATGTCGGGGATAGGGCAGTGAGTAGAGTTATACCAGGGCCCAGCATACAGGATACTTATTCGCATAGAGATATTACTGAAAACCGAGAGATCAGCCACCAAACTTAAGAGTAATCGACCAGGAGTGGGTGCATCGTAATACGAGGTACATCTTAACATCTTATGAGGTAAGTAAGGTGTTACTCACTCCGTATCGGCTGTACGTAGGTGAATCATAGCTGGACCCGCTCAGATACGAGGAGGCGCGGTAGGCGGACGAGCTGCTACCAGATCCGCCGCTCAGATACGACGATGACGACGTGGAACCAACGCTGCACCTCTGAACGCTGGAGCGCGGCGCATACGAGGAGCTGGAGGAGCCGCTGTTGGCGGAGTACGTCGAGTACGAGCTGGGATAGTAGCTGCTGCCGTAGCCCGACGAGCTGGAGCCGCCGGACGAGGTGGGCAGCCACTTGGACAGGCTGCTGCCGCGGTCGTAGCTGCTCGATATGCGGGAGTAACCGTTCGTGGTGGCGCCTCCGCTGGTCCGATCCACCGCACCGCTGACGCTGCCGGTGCTGCTGATGTGGTGACTGCCGCTGGTGGAGCTGCTGCTGGTGGTGCTGCCGCTGGAGGTGCCGGCCGCCGATGTACCGTAGAGACTGCCGCTGCCCGCCGCTGACGTTGACGATCTACGCGGCGCAATTACACGCATATTAATGGCAGCAGCGGCAGTGATCTAACCCCGGTTTCAGGATGAAGTCGAGAGTGTCCTTGGTCTGGGTCTGGTTGCAGCACGTGGTATTGCTGAGCGGCTGATTCCTGTTTTGCTTCCGGCTTGCTTCCGTTTCTCAGTTTTTTCGTGGGCTGTACAGCGGGATTCGGCTTCATTAATGGAAAAGTTCAGCTGCACCGTGCATATGTACTCACCTGCGTCACGTTATTTACATTATCCTTGCATTATATCCCTAGGTTTAGTTTAGTTTTAAACTTAATGGCTGCTTATGTGCTACATCTAAGACCCGTTCTTGTTGCTGCTAAAGTTATAGGCAAAGCTGAAAGGAAAGAAATTTTAGGAGGCCTTATTAACTCTTTCATATTAACTCCAATTTAAAAGATTTTGGTAGTGCAAACAAATCTAAATTATTCGTTTGCGTTTTATTTACTTGCTGGAAGAGTGAAGGATGTTGGGCGCAAGGTTATCTTGAATTCTGGGGTATGCAAAGGATGATGCGAAATAATTTTCAGGGGAACTCGCGCCTCTTCTGGCCCTCCTCCTCCCACGATTGATTTTTCGCAAGCGCAACAAACACATACACACACAATAATCAATTAATTAAGCTCGATTTTGCACATCTCGGCCATTTGTGGCCTTCGACTTGTCGCTGATGAACAGTTAGGCGGAAAGTGGAAAACCGATCAGCTGCTGCGTCACTTGTTTACAATTGCAAAATAGCTGTAAATAGAGAAAAACTGTTTTCAAGTTTGCCATAACAACAACATGTAGTGTGACGGCTGCAAGGGCGGGGAGGAGGTGGGCGGCGCGGGCGGTTGGCCTTATGCGGTAACACTTAAAACGAAGTTACGTTCGTGTGTGTGCCGCCAGGCTGTCTACGCTCCCATTCGAGAAAACCGTTGCTTTTCACACACATTCACGAGTGTTTGTGAAAGGGTGGGGGAAGGGGGGGATAGAGAGGGGGTGGTAGGCCTTTACTAACATAAATGGCCACACTTTCACGAATCGATCTATCGTTCATAAAATGCTACAACTACACTACAGCCCATTCACACACACGCACTTAAAAAAAAATTGAATTGTCCAAGTTCACACAATCGCACGCGCAGACACTCACAGGTGTAGCTGAACTTTCCCACGGTTACCACGTTTTAGGCGCTTTCTTTGGATACAAAATTCATACATCCTTTGCACGTCAAAAATCGAAATAATTATGGTAAAAGCAAAAACAAAATATAAAACGAAACGAAATGAGATTCTATTTTTAAAAGGCGCACTCACACACACGCGCGCACGCTTGGCAGTGAAATGTGAGAGGGAGAGAGGGTGAGCCAGGAGTAGTAGTAAAACAGTGCCGAGATTGTGCGAGCAAGCGAGATAGCACCTTTGGCGACACAGTCACACTCACACACACACACACATAGGCGCCTGGCAGCGTACGAATTACGCAAAGTGAAATATCTTTCTCAAAATGGAAAGTGGAAAAGTGACGACGACGACGGCGACGGCGAAGACGACGGTTATTGTGAATTTTTCATACGTCCACCAAGCACAAAAAATGTATATAAGCAAATGCGTATATAGTGTATAAATTCATACTAAAAATGAGACTTTTGGGCGAGGGGAGGGGTGGAGAAGGAGAAAATTTGACCGCAAAACGAACATCACGAGGCGAACGAGGTCGCGCTGCCGAAAGCCCCGTTTCTCATAGTTTGCCTATAAATTTTAGATCCAGCCAGGCGACAGCCTCGTCTCGCGCCTCAAAAACGCCTATTTTCGGTCGAATAAAAGCAATTTTCAGCACAGCACAGAACTCACTTTTTAATCGTATATTTTTTTATTTTGGCCAGTGTGACCGCATGCCGAAACGAAAGCACCGACACTAGATCTCGAAGTGAAGTTCACGGTTGTTCGATAACTATCGATATGACCGATAGACTGTACTTGGTGGCTGTACTTGCTAAGTACTGCATAAGCATCGCTCCGCTTAATATTCCATTCACACGGAACCCCAACCAAACCAGCTTTGTTGGATAGGTTTTAAAGCTAAAAGTTTTTGCACCGCACGCCAATCGTATTGGATTTAAGAGTGGGAAAAGAGATCAGTTATTAAGAGCTCAAGAGCTACCAGAGTCAACTTTGCTCTGTGGAGATCGGGACAAGTGTAGGAAACTGTACTTTACAGTTATTTGTGTAATAATTGTTGTTGTTAACAATAATATATATAATTTAAAAACAGAAGAGAAACACTTCTTTTCAGTAAATAGTATTTTCTCACTCTGGATCTGGTATATTATATCGCTTTTCCATAAGGTATTTCCAATAGCTAACTGCGCGGTCACACTGTTTTTGTGTGTGAAAATTCTGGCGAAAAGATTCTACTAAAAGTTCTTTGGACACCAATTCCGCTCAACGCCTGAGACCGAATTCGTGCCACTTCACCAAACTGCGATTGGATTGGAAACTTTAGTCAACAGATTAGGTAAAACCGGGGCAGATTACGAATCGAACGACCGCACAAACGAATTGTCGCGTCGCATTACGTTTCAGTGTTGCCACCTTATACGGAGTGCCGGGCATAATTCCATTTGCAGGCCAAACGGACGCATTGCGGCCGCGATGTGCACGCCGTTGGATTGATTCGCTCGCCCTGTTGATTGGGTACACTCCAAATACTCCGATCGGTGTTCGCCAGACCTCAATTTGTCCGGAAAAGCGCCGGCGAACGGACGCACTCTAGTCGGAATACAGGCGAGCTGGCATCACTGCCGCTGCCAGGGCACAAAATGAAGTGAATCTCGAAAAAGAGGCAAAGCTACAGGAAAAGCCAAGGAAAGCAAGCCGGTAAAGTGTGCAAATGCGAGTGGCAAGCAAAGACCTTTGTTTCCCATTCCATGACGTTTTGTTGAGTTGTCCGCTGCTCTGAGTGGTCATTATCAGCCATCTTCATCATTGTCATTATCATCGCCAACGGAGGTCGTCGTCATTTAGCCAGCCACCCACCACCCACAACCACCCACCAGCTAAACGGCCTTGAGGGAACTCACCAGCACCTTGTCATTCAAGTCTTGATCTTCGTCTTGGTCTGGATAAACGTATCCAATCACACAGTTCAGGTGGGTTCTCGAGCCAGATGCCGAACCGGAGCCCCTGATCCTCATGCAGATCCTTTTCCCTATCTACAGTTATGTCATCCACCGCCGGAAAGCGCAAGGAGATCTACAAATATCTCGCGCCATGGCCACTGTACTCCATGAACTGGAGTGTAAGGCCGGACAAGCGATTCCGGCTTGCACTGGGCAGCTTCATCGAGGAGTACAACAACAAGGTGCAGATCATCAGCCTGGACGAGGACACCAGCGAATTTAGTGCCAAGAGGTATGCCAAATAGTTGTTTAGGTCATCCCGTCTACTTACTGTTTGAATGGCTCCACAAATATGGGTTTCGCCTTTATCGCATATTACAATTTGTAAAATTATAAATTAAATCTTTCTTATTTATTTTTTTTTAATATTTGTAATCCTCGATATTGTGTCTATAAATAATAATATATTATTATTATTATTTTATTATATAATTCTATTAATATTATTTTATTATTATACATACTTATATTATTTTATTATTATACATAATTATATTATTTTATTATTATACATAATTATAATTATTATTATTAATAATTATATTATTATATGTTATATAATTATTATAATAATATTATTATTAATATAAATATTATGATTATTTTAGTATTATTATTGTATTGTATGTATCGTTTAAAATATTTTAAACCATTTTTCTCAATTCCCCTTGCTCACTGACTGACCATTTCTTCCTCCAAATAGCACCTTTGATCATCCATATCCGACAACCAAGATCATGTGGATTCCTGACTCCAAGGGTGTCTATCCGGATCTATTGGCCACCAGCGGCGACTACTTGCGGGTGTGGCGTGCCGGCGAACCGGACACGCGGCTCGAGTGCGTATTGAATAACAACAAGAACAGCGACTTTTGCGCTCCGCTCACCTCGTTCGATTGGAACGAGGTTGATCCCAATCTGGTGGGCACCTCGTCGATAGACACTACCTGCACTATCTGGGGACTGGAGACCGGACAGCCGCACGCCCGCGTCTATGTGGCAGGACATGTGAAGACGCAACTGATTGCCCACGACAAGGAAGTATACGACATTGCTTTTTCGCGGGCTGGCGGCGGTCGGGACATGTTTGCCTCGGTGGGAGCGGACGGATCGGTGCGCATGTTCGATCTGCGGCACTTGGAGCACTCCACCATTATATATGAGGTGAGTAGAGCGCACGGAAACACGACAACCACACGAATGATCACATAACGACAAATCCAACAGGATCCTGCCCACACGGCGCTGCTGCGCTTGGCCTGGAACAAACAGGACCCGAACTACTTAGCCACCGTTGCCATGGACTCGTGCGAAGTAATAATTTTAGATGTTCGTGTTCCTTGTACACCCGTTGCAAGACTGAGCAATCACAGAGCGTGCGTCAACGGTATTGCGTGGGCGCCGCATAGGTGAGTCTTCCTTTGAGCCTGAAATGAGCCCTCACCAATTGCATTTTGTTCTGCAGTTCCTGTCACATCTGCACTGCCGGTGATGATCACCAAGCACTGATCTGGGATATACAACAAATGCCACGTGCAATCGAGGATCCAATTTTAGCCTATACAGCTGCCGAGGGCGAAGTCAATCAGATCCAGTGGGGCGCAACACAGCCCGACTGGATAGCCATTTGCTATAACAAAGCGTGCGAGATCCTGCGGGTCTAAGAGTCAATTTTTTGGTCTGGTCCCTTGCTGAAGCACCTGGCTGCAATTGCTGAACAACGCACAGTCAACAAAGAAACAAGTCAGATAAACACACACCACCCACAAAGAAACATACATTTGCTGTTGGTAACTTGGAGGCGGAGAAGAGCAGTGAGCAGTGAGCTTAAGTTGGATCAGTTCTGTCCACCGCTTCCGCAGTTTGTTTGTTTACTGTCTGTCGAGAGATAAGGAAAAAGTGAAAGCGAAAGTGAAGGAGATAGAGATAGAGGAAGAGAAAGAGAAAGGGTTTAAGAGAAAGAGATCAATTTGAGGGGAAAAGAAGAGGACGGAGCACGTATTTTAGAATTCTTAGCTTAGTTGATTTAACAAGTATGTAAGTCAAGTCTATAAGGTATAACCAAAATATGTATTTATAATTGTAGTTTATTTCACACTTGACAAATCCCGACACCCCAAACTCCAAACCCCAAGCCCCCGAAAACTCCAATCAATTAGAGGCGCTTAATCTCATTTTGTTCTTTTTTATACAAATCCAAGTGCAATGCAGAAAAATATGAAAGAAAGAAAAACACATTTAAAAAACAATGTCCTACCTCGTTTTTTCAAACATGAATGTTGTTAACCAAGTTTTTGAGTCTGGCCAAAACAGCAACAGCAGCAACCACAGCAATACACAGAGAAAAAATGAGAGGGAAAAAAGTGGTCGGCAACAACGCTTTTTCGAAATATTTTTACTTCGTTCGATTTTTGTAAGAGAACCAAAAAACGGAAAACCACAAAAACAAGAGATAAAGATAAACAAAGGCAAGAGCAAAACCATGGACTTAAGCAAATGCAAAACAAACATAATACGAAATGAATTAAATAAATAAGCGAAATACTTACATATACTACAGATTAAAACCAAAACAAGAAACTGAAGACAAATTGCACACAACACAGCTAGAATACAATACTATTTAAAGATACAAACTAAAAGCAAATGCAAAAACAAATACCGAAATATATGAGCGAGAGAGAATACAAGATTGTTGCTATATCCATTTAACAAACGAACGAAAATAAACAAAGAAACTATGATCATTTCAGATAAGACACGAGCCTCCATCAATAATCTCAAGTCCCAACCACATCCCATACTTGCCCCAGGACAAAAGCGACTTTTCCAGATAAAATCGAATCAATTTTTTTATGTATCTTGTAATTTATAGCGATTTCACAACTTATATATAGATATGTATACAGAAAGCGATAGCAGTACCGATAATACCGATGATCATGTATTGTAAATACAGCATGAAAGGCACATTTTTAACGAAATCCAACAATCAGCAGCCGTAAAACTTTGAACAAGACTTGGGCTCTGATTTTGTATAGCCATTTAAGAGGCCACTCCACTTGAGCGGGAATTAATATCCTCATATCCAAATACTGTTTCGTTAGCTGCAGAAGAGTAAGGAACTGAAATCAAGTCGATTGAACTTTAAATTTGATATTTTGTACGTTCGTTGCCATCGGGCGAAGACATTTTCATTGATTTGGCGAACCACGGTTTCCGTAAAAAATAATTGATAAAAAACAAGTTAGAATATAATGTACTCTTTATAATGTTTCTTTATTTTCGTTTGTGTTCTGTTTTGCATTATCCGACTTGCGTTATATTGGCTATGTGACTACATTTATATATGAAATGTGTATGTACACACACACACACACACACACACACACACCCAGACACACACACACTCAAGCGCGTATATATAAACATCCGATCGGGCTAAAGAGGTTACTAGAAAGCTAATGATTGATCGATGGATGGATCAGACAAACCAAACAAAACAGAAGAACAATGAGAGTTGGAGAAAACAAACCAAATCAGACAAATATTTAAATAAACAATTTTTAAATAATGATCTCAGTCTCAAATTAAATCGGGCAGATCGTCGGGTTCACAGATGTTACTGATGTCCACGACTCCCCGCAATGCTTCCTCTGGTTTTCCATGATTTTTTCCAGCCTCAGAAGGGGCAGGGCTGCAAGAAAAGGCAGGATGGCGGTTAGGATTTGTGGTTTGAGATACTCATATTGGGCGCGCTTACCTTTTAGCCGGTTTCTTCACTATCAGCAGCTCGTTAACTTTCAGCTTCTTTAGCCGGACCATAAGGTGACCTGTAATCTGGGAACGCTGCACCGTGGACTCATCCGGCTTGACCTCCTCGCTGTACGCGATCTGGAAGATCTTTTTCTTGACGGTGACTCTGGTGTACATAGTCTGAATATCGACGTCGATTAGAGAGGTGTCCATGTGTCTGAGGGGAGAAATAGAAATATAAATAGCAAGATAGCTTTTAAGATATGTACTCGTAAACGTTTGGTTGAGAAACCTTGGCCCAGCTCACCTGTACACCTCCAGTTGGAGCAAGTAATGATCGGCCTCGTCCTGGAAGTTAAAGGGCAGCTTGGCCTGGTTCAGATTGTAGGGTCTGCCGCAAGGAGCGAAGAGGTTGCACTGCTGCTTCGGGGGATCCAATGGAGACTTGGTCTCGTGCCGCTCCCGGCCCAATCGGTGTTGCCGGGCGATCTCCGTGCGAATCTCCGGGCAGTGCTCACTCTTCGCCTGCCAGAAGCACTTTATGCGCTCTTCTTCGTCCTCTATTCCGGCACAACGTTCAGCCAGGGCGGACTGCTGCTCCGCCACCCGGTAACGCTGCTCATCGCGCTCTATGGCCTGGTCTGTCTGCTTCTGGACGATGATGGACCGGTTCTTGGGCAATTGCCGCAACGCTTGGAGACGTTCCGAGGGCGTGATCTCCACGCAATCCAAACTGGTCAGCTGCGTCAGGGTGGCCACCACGTAGTCCCTATAGTGCGGATAATCCACGCAAGGATTACCTATAAGGACCAGCTCGCGAAGATTGTGGTTGCCACACAGCGACTCCACACTGGTTAGCTCTCCTATAAAGTTCAAGGTAAGATCCAGCTTACTGAGCGACTCGCAGCCCTCCAGATTCTCCACCCGCTCAATGTTGTTGATGGCCACATTGAGGTACTCCAAGCGCTTCAGCTTGTGCAAGTTCTCCAGGCGCGCAATCAGATTGGACTGGAGGAGCAGGATCTTGAGGTCGCGACACCAGTTCTGGATGTGCTCTATGACCTCGATGTCCTCCTGGTGCAAGGAGATCTCCTCCAGCGTGCTGATCAGCCGTTCATTGTGCTCTGACTTCTTGCGTATCAGCTCTTCGGTGACTGCGGGATATTCAGGATTAAAATCACGTTTTTATTTCTTTTTTGTACTATTTTCACTACTCACTGAGCACCATAATGACGAATGTGTGCTGTAAGAAAAGTTAGTAGACTGCCACAAGCCGGAAGGGACCAGGCCTACTCCGTTGCTAGGCATTCTTGCAGTCCACATCCCTTGTTATTATTATTCTGATTTTGTGTTTTTTCCTAAATGTTTCAAATCGATGTACAAAAATACTGTTCTTTTATTAATTTAAATAAATAATTAATTAATTTTAAATAAATTACTGTTTTTAATTTATGTTACAACCGGTCGCACATTTTATTTACTGCATTCATTATTTATAAAACGGTGCCAAAATGATAAACATAATTCTCTTGGGCCCTTATCTCTGTGGACAACAGTCATCGTAGTGACGAAGCGCACCACACGTTGAGATCTCGGAGATATATAACTACAGAAGAACTCCTTTAAGCGGCATAACTGCCACGAAAGCTTGTCAATATTAAAAAAAAAATTATTGTTATATTTTTTGTACTTAGAAAAGAAGATAAAGAAGATACAGCTAAGGGGCATAGCGTGGTCACTTAAGAAACTATGTAGATGGGTAGGTATGTAGTATGTTACCCGGAGCCATCCACATCTGACGGAAATATTTATCTATTTATTTATATTTTATTATTTATATTTATATATGTATCTATTTATTGACCATGCCCCTGAAAATAGCTACAAATATTTAATGGCGCCCCAGCTGTGCTGCCCGCACTGACTGCATTTCGCCCCTGGGCAAACGAGATCTAATCAGCTGAATTACAATTAAGTAGTTGAACTAGCGAAGCGGTGGCGACGTGTTTTCCGCGGCCAGCTCTCTAGTCATTTGGCGGTGGGCAGGCGGAAGGCACACACAAAACTAAATCCAAATCGGATCGGCGGACAGACAGATATAGACAGGCGATGAGTAGCGATAAGGACGGTGATATCTTGCGGCCACTTAGCGATAGCGAAGTGGACGAATTGCTAGATCTGTACAAAGTTAAGTTCGGGGTAAAGAACTTCCACTACCTGCTGCTGTACAACCAGCGAAAGTGGAATCGCCAGCTACGCGAGGCTCAGATAGCGCACAATGATCTGAACTACATATCGCTGAGGAAGCAGTTCTACACCCATCGAAGGGGAAACTTCCGGGAGTGGGGCACCTATGTGAGCCTTCATCGGGACATCGTGCAGAGCGTCTCCTTCTTCAGCTGGCAGCCCGAAGGAGCTGCGGAGCTGTGGGAATGCCTGGAGCAAACGCAGCTCATCGAGTGGACGCAGGGCGCCCTGCTGACCAACGTGGACCTGGGATTTTGTGATCGGGTCAAGGAGCTGGCCGCCAGGCGCGGAGTCACCTCCATTCAACCTCGCCAGTGCTTCGGGATGGTGCTGTCGCATGAGGATGCCCTAAGCGCAGAAGTTCCAGAGCTGCTCTCCGAGTTCGATATCCGGCGGCTGCGGGACGAGGACGCGGCCATGGTGCACGATTCCTGGCCCAACAAGGGTGAAGGATCGCTCACCTATCTCCGGGCTCTCGTCCGTTTCAACAAGTCCTTGGGCGTCTGCCGCAGCGACACTGGGGAACTGATTGCCTGGATCTTCCAGAACGACTTTTCCGGACTGGGGTGCGTACAACTGAAATATAAAATGTATGCGATATCATCAATACATTTTAACTCAAGTATGGGGCTGTGTTCTAGTTTTGATCACAACCAAGAAGGTTTAGAAACCAAAAGGTCAACAAATGTTTTTTTAATGAGCCTAACCAAAGAGAAAATGTTCCGAACTCGCGGAAAAAATAATCCCTATGGCAGCTAAAACATTTGTGTACTCGTCTGGTTCGGCCTTTCCTAGCATAAATGATCTGAATAATACATGTTTTTTATGGAGTTTATTCAAATTGACCCGAATTGCCAGGAAAAAGAAAAAGAGTCTCTTTCGGTCATGTAGAGTTCAACTTACAATCACTGTGAACGGATAGTAATAGCGTAGTAACGATGAGCACCGTTGATCGATAGCATACAAATAGATCCTTATAACGATATGTTGACTATTCCAAATGATAAGCAACTACATATGTACACAGTTATTCCAAGATTCCAAGTTATGGAATTTTGGTTATTCCTAGATAAGAATTTCCAAATCTGTTTGTTTGTTTTTATGCGTCTACAGCATGCTGCAAGTGCTGCCCAAGGCGGAGCGCAGAGGACTAGGTGGCCTCCTGGCCGCTGCGATGACCCGAAGAATTGCCCGGGGTGAGGAGGTCACCCTCACGGCCTGGATTGTGGCCACTAACTGGCGGTCGGAGGCGCTGCTCAAGCGGATCGGGTACCAGAAAGAGGTGGTCAACGAGTGGATTAAGCTGGTACCGATTTCTTCATAGATTTCTTCATACCGCTGGAGATCTGGTGACGGTGCTGGATTCCGTTGGATAGTTGGACAACCGGTAAATAGGTTAGGTCAAGAAGCACTTGGCGATTTGCATTTGCTATGCCTATGTACATACATGGTCAACAATTTTATTTTGGCATTTAACATGCGCTCACGCTTTCTGAATACACTTTACGGCTTAATCAAATTCAAAAACAAATTCGAAACTAGCGGGCGGGCAGGGGGGGGATATGAAAATCGGGGACTCAAACTACTTATTTACACATTCGGCTCGGCGCCTCCAAAACAATATCAAAAATACCTTTAATTTACAGCATTGCTTTGCATTCTAAGTATACACACATATATTACGCACTTTTGACTCAATCGGCCCAACATCCAAATTTTACATTTTCGATTGATTAACTAAAGAATTAGGTTAGGTCATAAGGTCAGGCATTTTAAACACCTTGCGTATGAATGTGTCGTTTTCTCTCATAGCGAGATTTAAATTGAAATTTTGCGAAACACTAGAGCAACACTATATTGAAATTAAGACACTTCTTCAGTCACTCCTTTGCATTAACTACTAATCATTAGCCGTATTGTTTAAGCACCATCTCATCTACGTCTTGTTTTCCTATTTCAATGCAATCATATAAAAGAAGCAAACTAAATGTTTCAAAAGTAAGTTGTGATCTTGTTTTTGGTTTATAAGGGGAATTATTTTGAAACAAATTTTACTGGTATTGTAGCCGCTTCCTTTAAATTCGATTGAGGATGGAAATGTTTTTCTTCATTCCAGTTATTAAATTTAGAGTTGCGCCTCTTAAGTCAAACGTATTAAATATATACATTGAACATATATATATATCTATGTATATATATAGGGGTAGAGTTGGAATTTGGATGGTGGTGGTCACAGGTTAATACTATTCAGCTAACCCGCTTATTGGATACATTCACTAACTAAAACTAAACAAATAGTAGCCGCGTTGCCGTCCCGCTCGGCATTCCGCTGCCGTTCGCCAGCAGACTGTTTCCGGGCGCTCTGTGCAACCCATTGGATAGCTTCCCGTTGACCGATCCCCGGTAATAGGGATCCGTCTGCTGGTCCAGCGGCGAGTACTTCACATGGCTGGTCTGCGACAGCGGCAGTGTCGGCTGCTCGCGACCCCGTGTGATCTGTTTGGCGCGATTGTAGCAGAGCACGCCCACAATGGCCAGCGTCATGCCCACGCAATTGACCCACGTCACTGGATTGCCCAGGATTAGGAGCGATACTGCGATCACAAATATCCGCTTCGATGCGCTGGCCACCGCATAGGTGAGCGGAGTCACCAGAGACAAGACGCTGAAGGCGATGATGTTCTGCAGCCAGTTTAGGACACCGTCGGCGAAAAGCAGGGCAATAACCCGGTAGTCGAGGTTTTTCTGTAAAAGCGCAAATTTGGGTTTATTAAAAACTGCGGGAGCTGGAATTTGTCTATAACTTTGGTTTTGGTTATTAGGTCTCTGCGATTACTATCAGTATTTAATAAATTTTTAAGTCTATTGCTCGTGGGCATTGACTTTTTATACCCGTTACTCGTAGAGTAAAAGGGTACACTAGACTCGTTTAAAAGTATGTAACAGGCAGAAGGAAACCTATCCGACCATATTAAGTGTATATATTCTTGATCAGGATCAATAGCCGAGTCGATTTGGCCATGTCCGTCTGTCCGTATGAACGCCTCGATCTCAGGAACTACAAAAGCTAGAAAGTTGAGAGTAAGCATGGATCTTCTAGAGACATAGACGCAGCGCAAGTTAAATTTTTATATATCTTGTAAATTTCTATGGATTTGCCCAAAACTGTCACGCCCACACTTTTGAAAAATGTTGTGATATTTTTTCACTTTTTTATATATTTTGTAAATTTCTATAGATTTGCCAAAATACTTTTTGCCTCGCCCACTCTAACGCCCACAAACCGCACAAAACTTATACGCCCACACTTTTCAAAAATGCTTAAGTTTTTTCTCATTTAATTATTTTTTTCCCAATTTCTACCGAAATTCCAGAAATTTTTAAAGTTTCTCGTTTGTACTTCCACTAGCTGAGTAACGGGTATCTGATAGTCGAGGAACTCGACTATAGCATTCTATCTTGTTATGTTATGAAAATGCTGATGGTTTTCATTTAAATCACATTAACATTGCCATTCTAATTTCCTCACAAGACAAATGAGCTTTTAAAAAACGTTTGGCTTAATAGGGAACTCATAGAAAAATAGGCGAGTGTTTTTTTCATTTCATCAAAGTAATCCATTTTTTGACATACATGTAAAATCTATCTGATTATTTGCACATGTGCAGACCTGGCAATTTAAATTCCGGATCGGAACTAGTCAATGTAAAGAAAACTTCAGGAACTATTGAAATTGCTTTCAAGTATAAAAACTAGCGAACAAGAAGACAAACACAAGTGTTTAAACAACTCACTTGCATACGTAGACAGAACATGGTTTAGTTGACGTTAAGAAGTGATGGGACTGGTTTAAGAGGTAAATAAAGAAAACCACTGGCTGATACTGCGTAATCCGTAATTTGCTAAAATGTTAATATTGGCAGAAGAGGTTATCTCCTCTTCACCCAATCGAAAAGCCTATGCAGCAGATAACATGGCACCCTAGGTACACTACTCACAATGGCCGTGTGGCGGAATACAGCAAAGCTGTCCATGTAAAGCCAGAGGGGGAGGAAGATGAACAGCGACAGCTTGCCAAGCAAATGCAGCAGCCGTAAATGGTGGATGTTGGTGTCCTTGAGCACCTGTCGACGGAAGAAATATTAATCGAATGGAATCAAACAAGAGACTCTTTGGGTACGTTACCTTCTTTGAGAAGATGTTTTGCATGGAGAAGCCCATTGTGGAGATGAGGGCGCTGATGAGGCCCATCATATCAAAGGAGATCTCCGTGACGGTGGCTATGCCCACGCCCGTGATGATGGGCAGCAGACTCAGGTACACGAGCGTTGGCTGTTTCTCGCCGAAAAAAAGGCGCGTCAGGACGACGGTGAATAGTGGCATTGTGGCTTTGACTGGTGAGGAATAAAAACATGGTAAAGTTGAGGACTAGTCTTCTGCCGGCTAAGTATTAGCCTACTTTAAATTCAAATTCCTTAATTATATATATATATATATATATATATATATATATATATATATATAGTATACATATATACTTTCATATTTTTTGAGTTAAGCATTCATTTGCATAATTTCTCGAATTCAGAATTAAATGATTAATATATATTATTTTAAATCTTTAACATATTAGAATTGATAGAGATCATTGATTGATGCATTCGGACACCTTGTGCAACTACCTTGAATTTTTTGAATAGCTTATCAAAGTAATTACATATTACTCTAATAAGCAAAACTATATTTCATGTCATGTACATATCAATAACACGATCTTTATCACATCTTTGCCGCTTGGAAACTCCCCCCGCGCACATTATACAGATTCGATTCTGCTGACGTGTTGGGGAACCACTAGATTGACGGCCACTCAACTCACCCGTGTGCGCGTAGGAAACTGGCACCTTCCACAGGGAGATGTGGGAGGTGACTGAGGCCAGGAGCTTGCCCAGCGCCAGCGGCACTATCAGCCGGTAGTAGTAGGAGCGGGGTATGTCCTGGTACTTCCGGATGCGCCACAGGTTGAAGAAGGGCCCGCTGTACAGCGTGATGCTGCACAGTTGCACCAGAGTCACGGTCATCGGGAAGGGGAACTCATTCAGGACCATCTTGCCGATCACATTGTTGCTGGAGGAGATCACGTACCAGAAGAGGCACATCAGCAGCACGACGGCTATGTGCCGCGACCCCGTCCGCTTGCCCAGCATTTTTCGTCTGGGATTGGGCCGTGCTCTCGTGGCTTAGTGCGGCGCCGATTCTGCCGCGGATCGGTGGCGATGGGCGGGGGCAAGGGGCAAGTGGCAAGGCCTGGTCCTGGAGCTGCTGGTACTGCTGGCAATCTGACACGCGGAGCTTATTGCATTGCGCCTGGTGTTCTTTTAAAATTTAAATCGTCGATTAAAACGTTGTCTGTTTTTTGTTTTCGGCTAGTGTGACCAGACTGGCACATGCCCTTTTGCACCAAGCGCTCGCGATAAGCCGTAAGTTTTTACTAAAAAATCCCACAGTTCCGCCAAAATTCAAAAAATGTATACCACTAGGCTCAATATACATATAAAATAATGTATATTCGGGTCAAAACCAAATAAAAATAAGCTCATGTACAGTTTTCTTAATGATTATTATTTTTAATACATTTTCAGACGGATAATTTCAGTTAGATTGTTTTACATTTCCATCTTAAGTTTGTTTTATAAGTTTGCATAGTCACATGGCTGATTGAATTTCGACCCTCTCTGGTTTTTGACGAATGGGTGCTATGTGTAAAATATTCGATTTTCTTGATGTTTTCAGTTGGTCGGTGCTACAAAGTTTCCGACGAGATAGTGTTGCGAAACGCTATGGATAAGTCATCTGAATCGTCCGTTTATATTTTAACAGTTGTGATGTTGAATCTATGGTCCCTCCCATGCAACTAAGAAATAAATCTTCCTGAATTTAATTTTCGTGCTTCTGTCAGTTAAAGGTGGCCTTAAATAATAAATTATGGTGCTACATTTTTAGTTAAATGTTGTATAGGCGCATATGTATATGTATAATTTTTAAAGTTACTTCCTGAACTTAATTTGAGGAGTTTTTTGGCCTCCACGCTTAAGCGGATTAACGCCACAGCCAATGTATGATATATATTTCGGAATAAAACAAACTAAAAAATTATGTATGTGAGAGTCTGATTTGAAGATTATAAAACCGTCAGTTATTCAGCGGTTGGAGTTAATCAAATAAAAAAGGCGTTAAATTGAAACTCCTTGTTCCCAGACATTACCCAACATGTAAAAGGTTAATTTCTTGACATTTCACTAATGTAAAATAAGAGCTTTTTTAATCTATTTCACTATAAAGTCTCGTCGACGAATAGCCGTCTTTTTTGAGAAATTCGAGTTTTTACCATTTTTACTATCGCTAGCTGAGAATTTTACTTACTAACAATAATAAAAATAGCAAAAATCAAGTTTTTGAAACTGCCACTGTATCGATTTTCGATAAGATTTGAGTGTGACCTAAATTCACAAGTGGCAACGCATGAAATTCGCGGTAATGCTTCAGCTTGAAGAAAAACATTAAAATGTCAATCTACATTTGGAAATTAAAATGCGTATAAATAAATTACATATATACGTTTTAATATATGTAATATATGTAATTATATTTTCATTATTATCGATTAAAAAATATCCGTTACATCTCAGATTTTTTGCAGTTGCTAGATCTTGAGTTGCTAGATATTCGAGGGTATGTGACGTAATTCAACAGTATCGAATTTTTTGATGATGTTTCGTGACAGACAATTTTCGAGTTTTAGTTTTTAATAGCCTGAATAGCCCCAAGACTAAAATAACCAGAAAATATGGTTGAAAATAGCTCGTTAGGGACAGATATCTTAAAAGAATAAATCTTCCTAACGTAAGAAAGGTCAAATATCATGATATCGGCATTTGTGTTGCCTTGTAAGGCAACTAATCAGGAAAAAACCGAGAAATTAAAATTTCACCCCTGCTTATTGTGTTTTTAAAAGGTCAACTTGTGCCGAAAATCCGGTCTCAATATTTTCTTGTGGCGGTAAGCTAATCGGGACAGGTGAATCATTGGATGTGATTCAAGTGCAGACGGATATCTCCCCGCGTGTTGATCGGATTTGCCAAAGATATTTAAAACAAGAGATAATGCTATAGTGAAGTTCCCTGACTATTAGATACAGATACCCGTTAATCAGTTAGAGCGAACGAGAAATTTCAACATTTTCTGGTATATCGGTAGAAATTGGAGAAAACATAATAAAATTAAAAAAAAACTTTAAATTGTTTTAATAGTGTGGGCGTGGCAGTTTTTGTCGTTAGAGTGGGCGTGGCAAAAAAATTTAGGCAAATCTATAGAAATTTACAAGATATATATGTATGTGTAGATAGAATGTGATAATTAGCTCAATTGAAGTGTTTGTCTCCTTTAATAAAACTTTTAGTCTACCATGTGCTGTCTTATCCATGTGTTTGTAATCACGTAAGTCTATGAAGCTCTATGTTGGTATATTTTGAATTTATAATTAGTGGCTGCGTGTTTCGTGTATAGCTTTCGGATGCAGCCGTATCTACGTATAGAGATATTAAATCCAAGCCTTTAAATGGCGAATATATTTTCAAATTAAAAAGGGAGGAAGTAAAGTTTGGGAAATATTCACAAATATTAAAGAAAGGACTTAACTGGTGTAGTTGCCCGCAAAAAGTGCTACGGTGTGTATTCATTTACTGGAAGCACTTTAAACTTAGCCCTAAACAAATGCTTGAAAAGTTGTTGCCGCATCCCACGACCATTTCAGCAATCTACGAAACTTATTTTGAAAAAACAAAACAAGAACTAGGTGACTAGCGGTATTTGGACAGATAATTACTTAAGATCGTCATATATTTCATGCACAATACATTACATTAAAGAAGGAGCGCTGGTAAGCCATCTGTTGGCAATAAAACCCATGGAAGGTGAAGCCTGCACTGGTAAGTAAACTATATACATATGTAACTTTTTATTGGAATTTCAATTTCATTTTATTTTCATTTACTAAAGAAAATGCGTGGTATACTAAACAACTTTGGTTGCTGCCTGGAGGAGAAAAAGCCTGTCATAGTGACGGACCGTGGCTCCAATATGATATCAGCCTTTCGTGATAATTTCAACCTGGGAATTACCTTAACAAGTCTATGCCCAACTAGGTGGATTACCATTTTCTATTTTTTAAGTCAAAAAAATATTTTAATTGAAAAACACCAAACACACAGAATTGATGGAATTCATTTAAATCATTTGAGCTCAATTGTCCGTGTACTTTCTGTTTTTGAAGAGGTCTCAAAAAAACTGGAAGGCAGTAACTATCTAACCATCCACTTAACTAGTCCATATATAAGAATTACAGAAATGTTGCACTGCAAATACAAACGATAATCCCAGTATCGCACATCTGAAGTCCAATTTTTCCTTCCAAAAGTCCTCCCATATATTTCTAACTACCATAAAACAGCTCTTTTCTTTTTTCCACCAACTAATAAACTTGTGCAATGCTCAGCGACTAAAAAATTAGAAATTATAGAAGATTGCAAAAAAATTAGGAAAACATTTTCATTAACCTCTGTAAATTCCTATTCTAATAATTGTGTGACGATGCATTTTCTGATTTTATTCAAGGCCGAAACTAATTCAATGATATTGACTAATGATACAGAACTAAACAGTAAATTATACAGATGATTTTAATTGCCTTGAATGGTGGCACATAAACAAAAATATTTTTCCCCTCTTATATAAAACTAGCTGCACCATTTTTTGTATTCCTGCAAGCAGCTCGGCATCTGAAAGAGCATTTTCAGATGCTAGACATTTAATTTCAGAAAAACGATGTGTTATTGCTAACAATTCTGATACTATAAACAAAATTATGTTTCTGCATTCAGTAATTGAAAAATAAAATAAATAAATTACACACATATATGTCGGAGATTAAGTTGTTCTAAAGTAATATAATATTATTTGAATATAACCGAAATTGTTATTATCAAGTCATGTTAAGAATAAAGAGCTGAGCAGATTTATTTATATTTTGGACTTTTGATAAATTTATTATTTTTATATTTCTCATCAGAAATTAATAGGAATCTGATGAATATGACGAATCTGATTTATTTAAATTGTTTTCGAAATTAATCAAAAGTGATCCAATAATCACCCAAGACTTATACCGACTTAAGTTTACTCATTAATTGTCTTAACTTATACACACTTTATATGGTCGAAATCGCTTCCTTCTACCTGTTACATACTTTCAATACATCTGGTATAAATTATCAAATTAAATACGTTAACACCGCCGTGGCATTTTTGCGCGGTTTCTGGGCGTTAGAGTGGGCGTGGCAATATTTGGAAACGCTTCCTTCAGTCTGTTACATACTTTTCAACGAGTCTAGTATACAATTAATCAAAAGCCCAGCCACGGTTTTATGAAAATTGAAATCTTTGCTACTAGTTTTAGAAGTTTTCGACATAGCCGTTATATACGGATCTGATGAAACAAGTAAGCCGTTCATAACATCCTCCATTGTATTACTCTTTTTGTCCTTACCGGAATGGTTTAGTCGAGTGTTTCTGAAATCTTTGTTCTTATATGTAGGATACAATCGAAAAACCGTATCCATTCATGCAGAGTTGACTGTCCATATTTCAAAAGATCTGGATCAATTGGATAGCTTTTTAGCAATCTAATATTATTCATATTTTTTGGTAGTGCTCTACAAAGTCCACATGTCTGGGGGGTAGATGCAGCAAGAGCGCTAAATTCGTGGGAAATTGTAATTAAGGGTGTAATTGTTGGTTGAATGGGCAGTATTTGTCTTTTTACTATATCCGACTCTGATCGAATAAATTCTATAGCTTCCTTTTCGCAAATCAGTTTCAAAGGCCTACAACAGCGTGTTGATGAAGGTCGCGGATTTTTCCACAAAGTCTTTGATTCAAGCTGAACTTGTAATGGTACAAGGCCAACTGCAAAAAGGGGTTGATCTACCATTTCAGTTTCACCATTTTGAAAGTTTTGGCGATTAAGTGTCCACTACTTCCACAGCCCCATTTATGTCATTTCGAATTGGCAATTCGTCGATTTAATATAAACAAACCAAATGCTTTGCTTCTCAGCAACACTTGGCCACTTTAATGTAAACTAATCAAAGGCAACGGCACTTAGCCGATATAGTAAACAACGGCGAGAAGACCAAAGATCTTATTTTTTATAATTAAATTTCTTTTGAACTGAGAGATGTTCTCTTCTGAAACACTCCCTCAATTATGGAGCAATACGCTCTTTTATTTTTTTTTCACCACTGAGGCTTCTCAGCATCAGTTTTAAAACATAAGTTTCAGTCTTAAGCCGCACACCGAATAAATCAGACACATTTAACATTATTATCAATAAATAATTATAAGAATAAAAATCAACATTGCCTTTTTATTCCTGGCTGACTCAAAACAACAATTACTCCTGATAATTTGAGGAGCCATAAATTTATTTATCTGATTACAGTATAAAATAATATTTTATTATATATCCAGTCAGAAAACAAAAT